CTAGGCAAATACTTGCTGGGTTCCTGTAGCTGGAAGTCCTGCATTGAGGAGAGGAAGGGCTCCAATTATGTGATTCTTGACTCCATGATATTACATCAAGTGCTAAATGATAAAACAACACTTGCATAAATCCCATTTATTTCATAGATCTGTTCCATCTGAAACTTGGATTTAGCAGAGGGTATGTTTATGGAACCAACCTATCTTCTCTTGACAGTAAATGGCTATTGCAGTGTATCAGCTATAAGTGTCTTGTAAAAGTATATTATACTAAATAGGACCAATATCTCAATGGTAGCTGGATATATTTTGTGGAACACTTTTATATTCCTTTTTATTCACCTTGACTCCTTTCCCCCTCACCATCTGCTATAGTATGTAGTTGGCATCTGTTTCAGGATATGCTGAGTTCAGAATACAGAGTGGGAAGCTCCAGAGCCCCCTGGGCCATCTTTTCCTGGATTTGAGGATTATTTCCGGTCCTGATTTCTGGAAGAATATATGGGCCAATAGGGAAGAAAATCTGTGGAATGAACATCAGATGTGCCTTGCTAACCAAGAGTTGTCAAGTGTTTTACCCCTTACCCCTTACTGGGATGCTGGTGAACATACTTAACAATCTTGGTTTGTTTTCCTAAGAGTTCATGTGGCAAATGGAGATCCACTAAAGTTGGAAACAAATGTATTAATTTGTTTCTTCAGGCTAATGTGGGGATGATGTACTAGTCTGCAGACTCTGAAGTTGTACAAAGCCCTTTATTTGGTAGAATGAAAAGGAATCAAGTTTCATCAATAAATGGAAAAACTGCATAGTTTAGGAAGTATAACACATCATAGGCATTTAAAGAACATTTAAAAACTATATTGTGAAAATGAGTGACACTGCTAATAATATTGTCTCCTCTGCATATATATGATCGTTGTCTGAAACCTTTCTGCATTTGTTTGGCAACCCAAGGAACCCATGTGCTCCACTCCATCTATCCTATGAGATGAGAACAGCATGGCAGTCACCATCAGTAAGACTTCTAACATCTGGTATATTTGGAAAAACATACCACTGGATTCCTAGCTCTCAGACATGGTTTTGACCTATCATAGTTTTCCTACTGCTGACATGTTAAGCATAGCCTCCTGTGAAATTGCAGCTGTATGTGTCTGTGTGCTTATTGTCTCCCTTCACCTAAACTGGCTTGTTTATTTGAATCATCTCAACCATTTGAGATCCAGGAACCTACTTGCAGTTGTGACTCATTAGAAATAGAAATCCAAAACTGTGGGTATGGTAATGAAGTGACAAGTTCAGTTTTAAAGGAAGATATTGCCTACAGTCAAATATAGTAGATAACCTTAGTAATGGTGTAGGGAGTTATTGGAATTTAGTATTATACTGACTGGAAATGTCAGAGATGCATTAACCTTGACAAAAGAACCTTTATGAGACTAGGGTGTTAACAAGTGATAAAAAATGTGTAGTGTGCTAGGAAACCATAGTCTCTGTTCAACCCATTGTCAGTGAACTGGAGTTTGAGGATATATTCCAGTTCTGTGTTTTTTTTCTTTCCAGTTTTGGTTGTTCAAGAACTACTGCTCTAAAATCCAAGATGGAATGTTCAGGAAGACTGAAATGTTCTGTACCTGTTTTGTTTTTGTTTTTTTGTTTGTTTGTTTTTTGTATTCCCATTCCTAATGCCTGGTTTATGTCCATTTATCTCTGGATGTAGAGTACTGTAAGATATTGTTGAGAAAGAATGGCATATATTACAGAGTATGCACAAATGAAAGTATCTCTAATATTATGGGTGATGTGATTAAGTCCTGTGGAGGCATTTCCTGAGGAGATGTCTGGTCAGAGTCAGCATCTCGGTTTGTGACAAGGTCTTGCACCTATCTCACCATTCATGTTCCAGTAAGTAAGTACAAATTTGAAATGAAGAGGTTGTCTATAGGCAAGTAAATGCTTGCCAACAAAAGCCCTTGACAGGGCAACATTATTAGCCAGAATAGAGTGTAGTTCATCTGTCTAAATGGTCTCAGTTGGAAGCTGTATGTGACTATTGGTGGGGTCCTAACTTTAGTCTGTTTTGTAAAAGATTAGATCTAGGTATTTGTTGATCTTGTTTTTTTAACGTCATATGGGGTGAGTACTGTAGCTTAAGGAATTCTTGTTATAGTTCCATGAATTTGGCATCCCTGTCTTGTGGATCTGAGCATGGAGAGCTTGGAAGTGTGTTCCGGGTGGAAACTAGGATCATGTAATCAATATAGTGTGATATTACATGCCCTTTGTGTAGTTACCAATATAAGTGTCTGTACCAATATAAGTTGGATATCCCTTATCTGAAAAGCTTGAAACCAAAAGTGTTTGGGATTTCATTTTGTTTTTCAAAATTTTTGAATACTTGTTTTTGCATAGAAAGATAGATAGCTTGGAAATGTGACCCAAGTCTAAACACAAAATTCATTTGTTTCTTGTATACCTTACACCCATAATTTGAAGGTATTTTAATAAAATATTTTAACAATCTTGAGCAACAGACAAAGTTTATGTACATTAAATCATCAAAAAAGCAAAGGAATCATTATATCAGGAACCCATATGGATTATTTCAGAGTATTTCAGATTTCAAAAATCCAAACAAGGAATTATCTGCCTTTACCAGCAAATGAACTATCAGCATGCAGTCATAATTCAGGGTTATTTTGAGGCAATTAGTTTTCCTCATCAGTTATTGTGTGGGGATGGATATGAAATAAATATGGAAATATGAATGTTGGAGGGATTTGTCTGTCAGCATCCTCTGTGGCTTTAACTTCCCTGGTTTCTGGAAATAACTCCATGTGACTATTATCTCTACCTAATGAGGCTATAGTGACTCAGATCAAGCTCCAAAAAGGGCACATTTGGAAAATTTCATCTCATCTCCGTGAGTTGGCTCAGAGATTATAAATTGGTATTTAGACTCATGTAGAATACTTCATGAGTTCAACAACTCATAGATGTTAATTCAGATAACAGGTGTGTTTCAGACTGAGCCATGTTCTCTTATAAAATCGCCTTTCTTGGGTGATATCAAGATAAGAATGAGAGCCTAAGGACTAAGATACAGAAAGTGAAGTGTGTTTTAGATCAGTTATTTCTCTATATATCAAATCTTACTGAAATGTTGAGTTCAAATAACTAAATATCTAGGATGAATATTCAAGATTACTTTATACTTAAAAATATAGATAGCAGCTTCATTCAAAGGAGGATTTCAAACCAGTCCTAACAGCATTGAAGACTGTAGGTGGATCATAGAAGCAACTATCAATTTGCCAGATTTTTGTATTGGAGGTCACAGAGCATTTGAAATGGCATATTGACAGGGTGTCAAAAGCATGTGGTGCAATTTGCTGAACTGAAATTGGGGAGAGAATATCATACTTTTATCTTCAGTATATGTGAGCATTTGTTTTCAGCTTTTCTTGCTAAACATTCTCTTCTCTCCCCCCCCCCTTTTTTTTTTTTTTTTGCTGTGACTATAGAGAGTCCAGTTCTTCTCAGACTTAAAGATGTGGGATTTCCCCTTCTAGTTATGCAGTGCTTTTGAGATACCCAGGGTATTAAAAATGTAGGCTCTAGTTCTACCCCTTTCAATGCAAGCTCATAAAAAGCTAGCTTCAAACATTTCCCAGCTACCTAAAATGCATAGTGACAAAAGATTATGAACTCAACAAGAGATGAGCTCCTACAGAGCCTTGGTGACAAAAGAGTTTAGATGCTAGAAAGGTATGCCAGAATTGTTGGGCCTGTATATGTAAGCTATATCTTGTTACAGATTTGTCATAGAATGCGAATATTGTGCAAATTAGTCTTAAATTCGACAATTTTATTGGTGCATGGACCTGCTGTAGTGGGAGTTCTGAACAAAAGATAGATCTTGTGCTTGTATTTACTGTTTCCTTGGCAATAGGAAAGGCAAGGCCAGCTTTTTTGAGGAAGGAAATCTATTATGCAAAAAGGGCTGAACCACTCAAAACTCTGGGACAGTTTCCTACTTGTTGCATAACCAATAAAGGGAATTAAATGTTTCTTTTCCTTTTGTCTTAACTTGAGGTTCCTATTCATTAAACCCAGAGTTTCTCAAAGTGTGCTCCTCCACATGTTTTGTACTTCAGCTCCCACAATTTCTCGTAGGTGGTAAGATGACTGGGACTTCTGGGAGCTGAAGTCCAAAACACATGGAGGAGCACACTTTGAGAAACACTGCATTAAACAAAAACAAGTTACTGCTGTAAGTACCTAATAAGCACTTTTGAATACATCTGCAGGAAGATGAACATATATATGACTTCATGGGGATAAAAAGAGACCTGGATTAAATTGTATTCTTAATTAAAATAAAACAAAATGTAAATTAAAAATCCTTTCAGGAACTTATATGGGGGAATAGGTTATAGCCTTCATAATTCTGCAGTGAAAATAAGAAGAAAAAATCATGCATATAGTGAGGAACCAAGATAGTTGCCAAAAGGGGTACGTTGAGGACCAGGCTTGAGTTCCCCCACCCCATGTTTTTTTATTTCATTTGATTGCTGTTTTTTCTTGGTTTCTCACATGACAACAAAATTTTTCCAAATCACTATTTGCCATGCTGAGTATTTCAGCAAGTGCTTTTCGCTAGCAGGACACAGTGCTCCATTTCCAGGTAATGAGCGTCAGTAAGGTTTTGGTCATGTTGTGATGGATGTCAAGTGTTATTTTTAAAATATGCCTTGACACGTGGGTCTTTTTTCTCTAAAGACAATGTGCACCATAACAACAGGCTTTAAGTTTGAAACCTTGCTGCCACAATGCCTTATTACATGTTTCTCATCCACAGTAACAATGAATTTTCTTGCCACAGGGGCTTCTGGTTAATACCTTGCTCCTTTTCACAGTAGGGCTTGTGCGTGTTGCAGGATTTGATGACACGGGGCAAATAACATCACATGTGTTTCTTCCTCTCCATGCTCAGGTCCGCTACAAGGAGGAGTTTGAAAAGAATAAAGGGAAAGGCTTCAGTGTGGTGGCTGACACCCCTGAGCTACAGCGAATCAAGAAGACTCAGGATCAAATCAGCAACGTAAGCAACTCTACTGCTTTTTCAGGTCATGTATTTGATAAACAGAAAGCTGTATTTTTCACCTTACCAGCTACCTGCTCTGTAAAATCCGATCTGGGAATTGTAATGAGAAAACTGGATCGTATTTCAGTAACTTGTTCCTTTTGTAGCACAGTCTTAGTGGGTGGAAATAATACAATTACAGGTCTCATCTAGTTTCAAATTTGGAATGCAAGTAACTGGTTAAACAGAACTCCTTTTTATTGGAATAGTATAAATCTAAACACAAAACAGCTTCATAATGTATAGTATATAATACTAAGAAGTCTATGCACTATTAACAGCATTACCTGTGAAACCTATTCCTAAAACTTGATAAAAGGAAGAGAGTCCTGTTGCACTTTAACAGCTAACAAATGGAGCCCCGGTGGTTAAACCCTTGTGCCAAATGACTGCTGATCAACAGGTCAGCAGTTCGATTCTGGGAGAGTGGATGGAGTTCCAGCTTGCGGTGCAAGGAAATGAGAGAAGCCTCCCACAAGGATGGTAAAACATCAAACATCCGGGCGTCTGCTGGGCAGTGTCCTTGCAGATGGCCAGTTCTCTCACACCAGAAGCAACTTGCAGTTTCTCAAGTTGCTCCTGATACTACAAAAAAAAAAAAAAGCTAACACATTTTATTTGACATAAATGTTTGTAGCTTTTATTGACTCAAGCCCACAAGGTATATGCCAAATAAAATGTGTAGAATCATAGAATAATAGAATTGGAAGATCACTTGGGCCATATAGTCCAACCCCTTGCCATTTAGGAAAAGCACAATCAAAGTACCCCTGACAGATGGCCATCCAGCTTCTTTTTTAAACACTTCCAAGGAAGGAGCTTCCACCACACTCTGAAGCAGAGAGTTCCACTTTTGGAACAGCTCATATGGTCAGGAAGTTCTTCCTAATATTCAAGTTGAATCTCCTTTCCTATAATTTGAATCCATTGCTCCCAGTCCTAGTTTCCAGGGTAGAAGAAAACAAGCCTGCTTCCTGTAGCTTATTAAAGACCATTTAAGGAACCCTTTAATGACCCATTTCACAACTGAGAATTTAGCATATATTGGCTTTTCTGAACAAATATAAAATGCTAAAACATTGATCCATGAGGTCACGAAGAGTCGGAGACGACTGAACGAATGAACAACAACAAAAACATCATGTTTTCATTCAGAGGAGTGCTACAAAAGTAGTTGAATTTAGAAATGCATACTCTTTTACAAAGTGTCCACCCTTGGTAAAGAGGCTGGATTGCAAAGTAACTCCTCCAATACAATTTAGCAAACAGTCTGCCAAGAAACATAGGCTGACATATTATGTAATGAGATAGCCATTTATATGTTCAATATCCCTCTTTCTTTGTATTGGCCTTTAGTTTAGAAGAAAAACTGCTTTCATTTTTTGCTGTGACAGAAACTTTCCACTTCTATGAATGAAATAGATAAAGACCTTAAGAATCTCCATTTTGAATTTTTAAAATCAGTAGTGTAGCCTGGAAGTGTTTACTTGTGCTTTTGCCCTCACTCCTCAAAAGAAGGAAATGTGATCAGAATCTGACTGCTCGGAAAAGCACAACCCATGGGAGCTTGACCTAGGCATTTCGTGAATGTCCAGAAATATTACCTTGTAGCCTTCCCCACTTCATTCTCCAAACTGTTGTCAGGTGAGGGTAGCAGTTGTAGCCTTACATATTGATAGGAAGCTGTGTTGGGGAGGGTGGCGCAGAGTAATGATCAAATGCAGATGGACAATCACACTGCATGAATTCAGGGTCTCCACTTTTCCCCTCAATCGGCTAAGTTGTAACAGATTAACTGTGTTGTACATCTCATATCTGGAAATTGCAACCAAATGCATTCAGATTTCTATTTCTATTACCCACTTTTCTGAGAATAATTCTATTTGTAGGCTTTGCCTGTATTGTCTTGAACTTGATATCTTACTATAACAGTTCCATTTACACAGAGGGTATTCATAGCCTGGGCAGTAAAGGATTTAAACCAGCTGTTAGCTCTTCCTTGTGTATGACATGGGCCCAGCCTTTACATCACTGATTTTTCACCGCAAACTGTGATGGAATGAAGGAACCAATCTTGATGCTGCCTTTTTAGAGGCTCAGCTTGATTTCTGTATCATAAATCATTTGTGTAGAAATGTGGCAAGAATAGTTTTGTGTTCATTGCTTCCATGATAATTTCTTGTACTTTTTAGCAATGGCTTACGGTTACAACCCTTCGCCCTAGCCTTTTTGAGGTTTGCGTGGGTGAATAATATACAGAGCCCTTTGGAACCTAAACGATTTTAACTATTAAGTCCAAACCCCCAGCATAATATAAGCTTGTGGCAGGAAGCATGTAAAATATCAAGACTCCAGTAGTTAAAATTCATGCCTGGTGATTTAGTATTCTCTGTGTATAATCCTAGCTGGAGAATACTTTTCTTCAGGCTTGTTGACTAATCTGTCTTTAATAATTTGCTTTGGCCATCTGGTCTAAGCTGGCGCTCTGGGAGTTAATTCTGGGGGAGCCCTGCAGGATGAATGTAATCCCTGAGGGATTCCCTTCCCAGGCCCTTTTCTCCATCAACTTTTTGCCATACACACTTTAATTTTTAACTGAAGTAACTGTCCTTATTTGTTTTGATTTACTCTGCTCAGTTACAGATTCAGCCCAATCCCTTCTTCTCTACACACTTCCCAAGACTACAGTTGCATGTGTGTTGTAGAAAAGGCCTTGCTCAATGTTTACAGTACAATCCAGTTTGGTCCAATATCCTTCAAGATATCTACACAGCCATTCTTAGAAGCTCTTTTTGATGTAGATTCCAAGATTATACATCTCTGTCCTTTAAGATCAAAGAATGTGGAAAGGACTTAAATAGTCTTTTATGTCATTTGAGGTTTGGAAAAGGCAGAGATTGCGCACTGCTTGATAAAGTAAATTAGTAAGTCAGTACATAAATCCTGACATGGCAGCAAATATGTGAGCAATGCCATAAATGGTGACTCTAAAGTGGAAAGGTTTCAATAGGAATGTATCTGTATAAGAAAACTAGAAGAATTTGCAGTGCATTACATTCCCCTCCCCTGTTTATAGTCCTTATGTCTGTCTGATCACAGGGAGGTTCCAATTATGGGCCACTGTTCAATGATGGAGAAACAGGGAGGAAGAGCTGACATTGAGGGCAAAATTGTACAAAGGCAAAATGATTTGTTAAAGTTTTATGAGAACGTATGTCCTCTCAATTGACTTATCAGTTAAGTTCACACTCTTCTTCACCCTGTTACTTTTGATACCATATTCCTAAAGAGAACAGATGAGATGTGGCACAATGTATAGTGATGGAATTGTTCTTAATTTGTGGAACTCACATAGCTTTTATTAGGTAATATATAGGGGATCAACAGGCAGACCATTCACTGAGTGAGTCCAGTTGGAGATAAGGAGTATTTGTTTATTTGCCACTGCAGTGTTCCACTATATGTACTCTGTAGTATACAGTCTGTACTATGGAATCTGTTGTCTTAGTATCCACAGTCATACTGTGGATACTCCAGCGTATATAATTTTTATACTGGGAGGGAAGCAGTTTCCTAGTCTTTGTGGTTTTTGGTAGGCAGTGCTATCTTCTAAAAATCCTAAAAACGTATGAAGGATCTGCCAGAGACTTTTAATTACTAAGATGGATGGCTTCATTTCCCTGTCCATTTCCAAGTCCTGTTCTTCTCCCCTCTCCTTGTCTCTTCACTAGTGCATTGCCCTGTGAAATTTAGTCACAAGCACATTTTTGTGTTATGCGGAGTATGCTATTTTTTTTTTTACGCCTGAGTACCAATGACCTATTTTTGGTATGTGGCAGAGGATACAACTTCCACGGAGACTTAAATGATCAACATCTCATACTGTGTAGTTTAGAACTGCCCACTCTTTTTGAAAAAAAAACCTGATTCTTTAATTTTGGACAGAATGCCTTATTTTGTTACGCTTCCAGATATAATGGCTTCAGGTTTGGGGGAATGTGAGCAAACTGACACCACTTTATCAGTGGCATCTGGTAATGATGGCAGCAGTGTGCTGAGCAATTTGGTCTGGTCATTAGGGCATTCTGGAAAACTTCAATAGTATCTAAACATATCCATCTAATATAGCTCAGAATAAGATTGCAAGCATCAGAGTGGACCCTGCTAAAGACCTGGAAACCTGGTAGCTGATATCAGTGCTGCATCTCTTTAGGTAGCCAGTGGTGACTTTATGTCAGCTGTAACTGTGAATCTCATTCATGTAACCAAGAGTCTCATCATTTGGCATCCCTGATTGTCAGACTCATGTTAGACATTTCTTAAGTGCTTGTCAGTCCGAAAAGTTGTGTCCAAAAATGTGGATGTACCAGTTTTTGTTCCATCTACCAACTAGAAAAAAGGTGATTTATATGTATGCAGAGGGGAGGAACTGTTTGCAATAAGTTAGTTAGTATGTACAGAACCATTCTTCTTGTGTTGTGTGTGTTTGCACTTACAGACCTCGTCAGAAGGGAGTTAACCACAGTCTGCAGTACATGCGTGTTAGCTCTCCACTGCCATCTCTTGGTGCACTACTACATATAGGGAAGGGATTTGTTAGAAAGCGGCAGTATTCAGCTTACAGGTCAAGGGCGACATTGCTGAGCTTTCTGCCCCTGAGATTATCTGTTACTTCCCCTATCTGTTCTCATGGCTGCTGACCCTCCAGTCACAGCCACTGAATGACATCTGGAGCAACAGAGAGAAGTCTGGGGGCAGGGGAGAGATGAGAGTGTGACACAATAGCTCTGAAGATGGTTCAGAGAAAAGCCAGTACTGATTGTGTTGAGAGTACATTGAACATTAAATAAGCTGAATGCTTCCTACCATCTCAGAACCGTTTGTGGATATTCTTACATGCTTCTTCTTTAATCCTGTCTCTTTCTTTACATCTGTCTATCTATAGATAAAGTACCATGAAGAATTTGAGAAGAGTAGGATGGGCACACCTGGTGGGGAAGGAGGGGAGCTGGAACGCCGTAACTCCCAGGAGGGTGCCAATTACAGGAGGCCAGTGGAGCAACAGCCACAACCACACCAGCAACCTCATCATGCCCAGCCAACGACCCCTGGTAATGAACTTTTATGGTATCGTGCTGGAGGGGGGAAATGGCTAGCAATCAAGACTAATATCCACTTGAACGCCTAAGGTTTCCTTATGGAATACCACAACATTTTGTCCATCCCAAGATATTGCTCTGTTGACCCAAACTATAAGCAATACCTATGTAAGGTTTTTTGAATAGTTGTGAGCTGCATGTACTGAGTAGATAACTGCCACAGCAGTTTTAGAGATAAAAGAGAGAGAGAGAGATAAATGAAGGAAAAAGAGCAATAGTAGAGTAACAAAAAAGGCATGCAGCTGAGGAGGGAGGGAGATGGTTTGAGGTTATGCCAGATAGAAGATCTGTACATCTGCATTTCATCCAAATAGTGTACTGTGCATCCATGAATTGAAGCCATAGCTGCATATGAACAGAGTAACTGACAGTAGGCTCTAGAGTTACTGAGAACTCAGAGATGAACATGAAGGAAAGTGTATTGGACAAGGCCTGTCAGAATTTGTATCCAAAGCCCAGATGAGGGAATTTATAGATGTGTAGGAAAGAATTAGGTGAAACAAAGAATAGGGAATGACAGAAGAATGTCAAAAGGTTTGACATAATAATTAAAAGGGGAAAACATTCTGAAATTGCTTCTCTATTAACACTTTGTGGTAGATTTATTTATTAACTAATTGCTCCTTTTGTGTATTTATATTGCATATTTAGTAGCATGCAGCGAGAGCTGTTAGATTAAAAATTGTTATGTTTTTAATACAATATAGTCAAATAATATTAGATGAAAGTTGATGTGTTTTAGCATGCCTGTTTCTTTCTTGAGCAAAACATTTAAGTTCATTACCTTAATGACTTCTAAGATTTGTGCACTCTTTTTTGCATCGTGATCTAGTTTGACCAAAGAACATTAACTTTTGTTAGGCAGCTGGATGTGATTGTATGTTTAGGCACATAACAATCCACTGGTTCTTTTGGATCTGAGGATTTAAGTAAAGCTTTTCTAAGGGAAAAAATGAATGGTTTCAAGGAAACAGAATATGAAGAGAAAGAACTGGTTTTAACATGTGTATTTGTGGCTGCTAATCAAACCTGCCTGCCTTCTGGTTCACTGTATGGTTGTTGTAATCAAACTTTCCTCTTTTTTACTTGTATTTTTTCAGGGAGAATGCTTTGTTTTGAGCTATATTTGTCACCTTGCACTCCTGAGATAGGGTTATACAATTTCCTGTTAGAATAGGTACATGACTTTTTTTTTTTTTTTTTTTGCATTTCACAATTAGAGCAGTCTGTACATTCATAGGACTTTAACTGTGTTAACCAGCCTATGGAATCCTGGAATGGATACTTTTGTGAGTTATTTAGAATACCGTATGACTACCTATACTTTGTCTCTCTCAGTTTACCACCACCAGCCACCTCAACAACCAGCCTCTCAGTCCTATGGCTACAAGGAACCAGCAGCCCCTGTCTCAATACAGCGTAATGCTCCATCTGGAGGAGGGGTAAGTGTGGTCTGGGAAAGAAGTAAGGCAAGCCATGCATTAGGGAAGAGAAAAGAAAAGAAACTGAAATATGCATGAAACTTGGCTTTTCCCAGAAATCTACGTCCTTGCATGGGCAGTGGAGGTGGTTAATGCCATTTCTTTTTGTCACTATGCCAAATTTTCACTTTGAAAACCATTACCTTGCAATTGAAGCATATACTGTCTCAAATATGGGTGAAAATGTGGGGAAATTGTCTTTCTAAGGCAGTGGTTCTCAACCTGTGGGTCCCCATATGTTTTGGCCTACAACTACCAGAAATCCCAGCCAGTTTACCAGCTGTTAGGATTTCTGGGAGTTGAAGGCCAAAACATCTGGGGACCCACAGGTTGAGAACCATTGTTCTAAGGGAAGACCACAAGCTAAAGATGAATTGGGATATTATATAATTAAGCCTGGATTTTGAACCAATATATTTATATACTGGGTCATTGTATGTAGAGTTTGAAAAGTAAACCAAATACTTTGCAGATTTGTCCTTATATATTTGCATAGCAAGCCATGTAAAGCTTAGACCAAAGTTGATAATTTTATGATTTTAGTTACCTGTTGAGACATACTTAGATTTCAAGTTCATTCTTAGTGCATGACCATCTCACAGGGTTCACTTTTGAAACAGTAATTATATTACTTTCATTAAAATATGCTAAAGTCTGCCCCTTTATCTCCAGCCAAGTTTTGTCACACATGCACACACCCCAATCCCGCTGTAGGGCATAGAGAGCATAGAGTACTAGAAACCCAGCTAAGTGTCTATGCAAGGAGAATGTTCTTGACCTTCTCTCTAGTCTTAATCACAATATTATGTTGTAATTTGTTTATAGCTTGTGAAACAGTTTAGTCTTATAAATCTTGCAAGTGATAAAACAAATAGTACTATCAAATGAGATTTTTCTCAGAGACCAGCTGTCCTTCCATCATATTTTGCATAGCAGCAAACTTACAGTACAGTTGAAAGTAACAATTGTCATAATGGGTTTAATATGAATTTACTACAGTGACATGTGAAAAAGAAACTTTGTAATGAAAATTCTGAGTTAGCAGTGGGCATGCAGGGAATTTTGAACAGGGTGTTCCAGCCAAGGCTGGTATTGTAGCCACTTCAGGTGGATAAAATAACTGTTTGATGCATTTTAAAATGAAGAGATTGTAGAGAAGAGTTTCAGTCCCATTAGATCCTGCAATTGCTCCTCGGTCAAGGTCCTTTCCTTAAATTGCTAGCTGCCACACTTACTTGATGCTTCCAAAGCCTGCTGCTATGCAAAATAGGAAAAACGGCTAAAGTAAACTTATCTTTTTTTCCTGCTTCTCCACTGCTGGCTGTTCTGTAATCCTTAACTTTCTGAGACCTGATTTGACTCTCTTGTGTCTCCCACCCCACCCCCAGAAGCGATTCCGTGCGGTCTATGATTACAATGCTGCCGACGAGGATGAAGTCTCCTTTCAGGATGGTGACACTATCATCAATGTGCAGCAGATTGATGACGGCTGGATGTATGGCACCGTTGAGCGGACCGGCGACACGGGCATGCTGCCAGCCAACTATGTGGAGGCTATATGAGTCCCACACCGGTGCCACCCTGAAAGCAAGCAGGGGAGGGGGTCTCATGTGCTTCTTGTTCCATTATCCCTTCTCTGCTGTCTCTCGTCAAACATCGTTACTTTGTTCTGAAGCTCTTACATGGTCATCATTATTCTTCTGCCAACATAGCTTTGTTTTGGAGGCATTTGAACTTGGAGTGGGTGTCTTTTTGTTATTATCAAATTAGACTTTTCTCAAAGACCAGCTGTCCTCCCATTCTCTCCTTCAGATTTCATGGAACATGGCACTCTGTCCCTCTTCTTCCCCAAGAACTACCATTTGAGGAATCGATTGGCTATAGAACAAAACTTCCTTAACCTGCTACAGCGAATGGAAGTAGTGTAGGGCTGAAGGGCAGGGACCAGTACTATACTTGCTTTTGAGGAAGTCTGGAATTGTTAATAATGTGGGAGAGTCTCCAATCCATTTCTGTTGAAAAAAATTATCACAGCCCTCTCGTTGTATATTGACCTTTGTTCACTTCAATTAACCTTATTTTCTATACACTTTAAATATAAATTTTGACGAGATTGCATCATTTATTTGAAAGTAGGGAGAACCTTTGGTAGAACTGAGAAAACAGGATATATTTAAATAGACAAAATAATTGCTAGTGTACAGGTACAGAGAAGTTTAGGAGGAATAATGATAATTCCATTGAGGACGCTCAGGCCTTAGCTCTTGGGTGCTATGGCTCGGTAAGGTTATGTATCTGCTTAGTTTTCAAGTGGAGAACATGCACCCGAGGAGATGCCATTTGAAGTACATTGTGCTCAGGACCAAAACTGCTGTCCAAGACTTTGTAGCTAATGAATTCCAGTTTGGACAGCTCAATTTTGGTGCTACCTTAAGTGTGAAGAGCAACATGCCCTAAACGTAGCTGGCCTCTCTTGCTGCAGTTCCCAAAGTCCCAAAAGTAACTTCATTGTGAACTTTTGAAGCAGCTTATGCGACATTCCCCTAGAGAATGCCAGTATATATCCCAGTTTAGAAAAAATCCCTGATATTAGTGTCTTCCTTCCTTCCTTCCTTTTTTCCTTCTGAGTCCTAAGTTCTGTTGTCATCTAATGTGGGGAAATAGACAGGCACTTCCTGAATAACTAAGCAGCTCTAGGCAGAAAAGAAATCTTTGGGACCAATTTGTTCCTTTCAGATTTGTAGGAAAGGTTGACCATTGTTGAACACGTGTTTTCCTGACTTAAGTGCTGTCAGCCGAAGGCAGGCTAGTAGATGGCTTCTTCTCCTATCTTCTTCCTTTTGAGCCAAGCAATGTTTACAATCTTTTATCCTCTGTCTACTGCCCCCATCCCCAGCCAGTCTGGCAATTGGGTGAATTGGGTTAGGGGAACAAATACCTTGCACTAGAAACATACCTCTGGTATCAAGCTGGCAGATGCTGGCGCTGACTTGGGATAATATCATGGACCAAAAGCAATCTCTTTTAGAGTATTTGCTGTTTAAAATAGCAGGGAATTACTATATAACTGGAAAATTAACTGGGGTAGTGTGGAGGCTAGATAGATAATCTGTAGGCAAGAAGGAAAGTCTACACTTACCATTCTTTCTCTTGCTACTTTTGAAGAGTCACTTAGGTGCTGGCAAAGAAGGGCAAATCCTATTTGAGTAATAGGCAGCTGGCTCCCCATAGAAATATTTCTCAGACTTCATGTCTCTTACTAATTTCAATACAATGGAATTGCAGATCTCTCCAAATGGAAGTGATATCTGGGAAATATTTATAGTATGTTGAAATGGAACATGAGGAGTAGCTCTATGCCTCTTTATTTGGACTCTGACCTCATCAAAGCCATTTGAACAGGCTGGTGAATGGACCTGCAGAGGTGGGATTTTTAAACTTTTTGTTCATAGGCACACTTGTAGGAAGATACTTGGATCCACTGAATTTCTTCCTGTTTTTAGTTGGTACCCTCTCCAGTGCCTGGGTTATATCAGGACCAAGTGGAAACACTCATTGTCTTCTCAGATGTTCTGCCATTCTTGTGCTGCTTTATCTCCTCTGTTTCCCCCTCCTGTGTATTGAGACAGCATATCAGGGACTAGCATTCTTTCCCCACATTATATCCACACTTTCTGTGGACTCCGTGGTGCCGAGAATAACCATAGGTAAGATGTAAAAGCACCGGCTTAGACTCTTTACAAGAGGTGCAAAATAGGCTTACATTAAGCAAGAGTTACAGAGGACATTCTCCCTCGGTGTTCAAGCCCATGTCAGTTGAATGCCAAGAGATGCTTCATTTTGTCATTCCTGTAATGTTGTATCTCTTCATACCTGGTGGAGTTCAGGACAGTAGGATCTTTATCTTAATCTCACAGGAGGAGTTTCGTGCCCTTAACAGGGTTTCCTTTCCCCAGCTTGAAAAACTCATATTCCTGCAGTTTCCCTGATCACTGGCAGAATTAGTGACCAAATAATCCTGTTCATAAGGCAGTAAAAGCACAAACATTTTATACTCTTTTTTTTCCATTGCAAAATATTCCTAGTCTCCGCTTTTTCCTTTGGACACTTGCACTACCAAAAAAACGGTGTTAAAGGGAGGAATGCTTCTATTTCCTTTTTCCCGTTTCAGCACCTCAAAAAGGACCATTTATAGAAATAGAAAGGTTCGTGGGAATGGCGATAGCTTTTCCTTATGACCTGTTTAAGAGGGATATAGGTGTCTAGGGACTAGCTAAGCTTTGTGTAAACTTTTAGATGGTGCCAATCATGGTGACTGCTGGGCAAAGAGAGATCACATTCTTTTTGGTGCTAAGATAGGAGCACGAGTCTGGCAGTGGCTATTTTCTAAATTATGAGACAGAGGCAAAATCATGTATAGACAATCCTTGAGAAGGACTGCATTTTGTGAGGAAGATACAAAGTAACATAATGTGAATAAATATTTTTAGAGGACCAAATAAAATACTCATTTTGAAGCTCTCCTAGCTTTTTCACCTCTATCCTGGGAGAAGTGGTTTCTCACTTGCTTGGTTTTTTTTTTCCTGCCTTCTGTGACTTATGCACTTTTGCCTTTGATTTTTTTCCATTAGCTGAAAAGCACCTAAACCTGTATTTAAATAATTAAAATGTAAAAAAAAGAAAAGAAAGAAAAGAAAGAAAAACAGCTAAATTGCATCTGTGTAGCCATTTTTATCCATGTCAATTCTCTTGTACATCTTAGCTTTTCAAGCTAGATATCAGTGTCTGTTGATTAGAATGATTTTTTTGTTTGTTTGTTTGGAGCATATTTGGGGGGTTTCATTTGTTGTCTTTGTGCGTTTCTTCTTTATGGGCTTGCAGGCCCTTTCCAAAAGTTATTTGGCCTTTTTCAGTGGCACCACAGAATCAAACGTGGCACCAGTTCTCTTCTGGTGTTACGCCAATTTGAAAATAAAAATATAATTTTTATCTGCGGACTGATTTTGGTCTTCATTGATGGTTTTATTTTTCTTCTGTGATAAAAGTGGAAGCATAAACATACACTCCTCAATTAAGCTTTGAGCATAAAAAACAAAGGAGAAAACAAGGCTTTTATTCCAGAATTAGACCTTAGAGGCCAGGTTACTTCTACCTAACTCAATTTATTTTTAAGAGCTGTGAATAGGGTAATCTGGACAATGTAGCAGACTCATCCTATCTAATCCAGAGACATTTAAACTAAGGTTGGATACAAAATAGCTTTGAATTTACTGGCAGGTCTCTGAATGACTTGCACTAGATTGGCAAAGATTTCCAATAAGCTCCTTAACAACCCGGTGGCCAAGTTCAAGCACAAAAAGCTCAGGCTCACATACATTAGCTTTCCTAGTTGTTCTTACTGTCTCGCCTCCCAGTCAGTAAAGCAAATCAGCTAGAAATCAACTTCACCTGAATCACAAGGACTAAGTATATGCTTTATTGTTTATTATTTATTTGCTTCATTTATACCCCACCTTTCCCACCCCTGAGGGGCCTCAAGGCAGCTTACAACACCAACAAAATTCAATGCCATATTTATTTATTTATTTACAGTATTTATATTCCTCCCTCCTCACCCTGCAGGGGACTCAGGGCAGATTACAATCCACATAGACATGGCAAACATTCAGTGCATTCAGATATACAACATATATAGACAGACACAGAAACATTTAACATTCCAGCTTTTCCGGCTTCATGAGGACTCGGTTCCAGCCACAGGGGGAGTTGCTGCTTCACCATCCACTTCTGACACTGAGTCCTTTGATGGAGTACTTCCTCATTCTTCTGCACGCTGCTGGACGGTTTTATGATGTCGTAAATTAGTTAAATTAGCCTCCACACATAAAGCAGTACCTAAATTTCCTGCTTGACAGATGCAACTGTCTTTCGGGCTGCATAGGTTGACAGCAAGCTAGAGTATTAATGACCGGGAGCTTGCTCCGACCCAGGCCGGCTTCGAACTCATGACCTCTCAGTAGTGATTTAATGCAGCTGGCTACTAACTAGCTGCACCAAAGCCAGTTCCTTATACAACATAACATTAAAAGCAGGCGCCATCAATTATAAAACAAAACACATGGGCAAATGAACACATAGAGCAATAAACAGATGAAAAACATATAAAGTGCTTGATTCCATTCATTCGTAATCCTTGTTCATAATCTTCATTCAGACCATGTCAAATCTCTAAAGTCTTATTCTCCAAATGCCTGCATACAGAGCCAGGTTTTAACTTTTTTCCGAAGACCAGAAGGGATGGGGCCAGCCTGATGGGGAGGGAGTTCAACAGCCGAGCAGTCAACAGCGAGAAGGCCCTGTCTCTCTTCTCCCCCAAATTGCGCTTGTGAAGAGGATGGGATCGAGAGCAGGGCCTCCCCAGCAGAACGTAAGGCTCTAGTTGTCTCATAAGGGGAGATCTGTTCAGACAAGCTGGACCAGAACTATTTAGGGCTTTACAGGCCAAGACCAGCACTTTGAATTGAGCTTGGTAGCAAATTGGTAACCAGTGGAGCTGACATAACAGAGAAGTAGTATGCTCCCTGTATGCTGCTTCAGTTAGAAGTCTGGCTGCTGCCCGTTGGACTAATTGAAGCTTCCAAGCTGTTTTCAAAGGCAACCCCATGTAGAGTCTGTTGCAATAGTCTATACAAGATGTAACAAGAGCATGGACCACCATGGTCAAGTCTTGACTTCCCAAGGTACAAGCGCAACTGGTGCACAAATTTTAATTGTGCAAAAGTTCCCCTGGCCACCGCCAAGACCTGAGGTTCCAGGCTCAGCGATGAATCCAGGATCACTCCCAAGCTGCGAACTTGCATCTTCAGGGGGAGTGTAACCCCATCCAACACAGGCCCCATCCAACTCTATACCCTGTTCAGCCTTATGACTGACCAGGAGTACCTCTTGTCTGGATTCAATTTCAATGTGTTTGTCCTCATCCAGATGGTCACTGTCAAGCACAGGTTCAGGACCTGAACAACCTCCTTAGCAGTAGGTGGAAAAGAGTGATAGAGTTGGATGTTATCTGCATACAGATGGCACAGAACTCCAAAACTCCAGATTATCTCCTCCAGTGGCTTCATGTAGATGTTAAACAACATGGGGGATAATACTAACCCCTGCGAGACCCCGCATGTCAATGGTTGCAGTGCCGAGCAGGTGTCCCCAACAACACTGAAAGCGACCCTCCAGGAAGGACTGGAGCCATTGCAAACAGTGACTCCAAGCCCCATTCCTTCAAGGCATCTCAGAAGGATACCGTGGTCCACAATATCGAAGGCTGCTGAAAGGTCTTTCAGAACCAACAGGGATACACTCCCCCTGTCAAATTTCCTATGCAGATCATTCACTAAGGTGACCAAGGCTGTTCCAGTTAGATGTCCCGGCATAAAGCCAGACTGACAAGTCTAGAAAATCAGTTTCTTGAATACATCCACTGAACACAATTGATCTTTCATTATTGAGAATGGCTCAGCATTATATCTAACCAAGAAAGATGCACTGATAATTTGTGCAAAGATATGTATCATATAAGGGATGTAGTCATTCAAGATTAAAATATGTAAGCATCCTGCTTTAGAGAGCAGACACGACAATAATGAGTTACAATATTTATCTGTGTTCTGTGTGACATCTTTCAAATGTGCTAACAATTATAATGTAAAGAGGGGAAATGTGGCCCTACTGAAGTTCTTGGATTGGTGCCTGCCCCATTCTTCACAACAGGATATACTGCCAAAGACAGATGTGAGATGAACCCAATAATGGGTGCCATGTGTTCATAATTCTTGAACTGGAAAGAGACCAAAAATTATCTTTTCTCTCTTTCAAAAGCCAGAGCCATTCCTCCACTAGTCAATCTGTCCTGTGTTCCACAAGTAGAGGAAAAAATGTCCAGAGACTCAATCATGCTGGATTCCTCTAAAACAAGATTTTACATTCGAAAGTATGAAAACGATAGTTCTACTTCTGTTGGTCATAGCTAACCTGAACTGGGAGATAATTACATCCTGGAAACAAACATGAGGCACATTTGCATAACCTGACCAGGAGGACCTTTCTCTGAGATCTTATGTTCTATATCACTTAACAGATCTGGTTGTGGCAGAATTGCATACACAAGAGAGCATTTAAGACTAAAGACCACACAGAACACAGAAGGCACACAGACATCCTTAACAAATTTGTTATGTCTACAAAATCTGTCATTTCTTCATGCCCTGGGCTCTTGAAATGTAGGCCAATTGCACATAAGGGATGGAATCCTATTGGTAAAGGAGACTCATTTTATCACTAGTTCAATGGTGAGTCAACAGAGATAAATCAATTGATTCAACTGGTGTACTCTAGCCAGCACTACAATATAACCAGGATCCATCAGGTTTGGCCAAGCTTTAAGTGCAAATGCAGCACCCTGAGGAACAAGGTAAGTATGGAGAAGCTCTTCTCCAAAGATGTGGCACAAGGTGACAAATCATTTTTAAATTAATTGCTTCATAGATACTGTGCCTTTCTAGTGGCATGGGACTCATGGCAGCTATGACAAATACGAACATAATGTGGGGCAGTTGCAGTTTGCTTCTTTTAATAACTATCAACACAATGAAATTACAAATCTCCAAGGATTTATAAGGTTATTTTACTAGTTGTATTCCTCTTGCTTTTTCCTCCAGTGAATTCAAGATGGCATACATCTTCCTTTGCCCTTTCTTCAACCATATCCTTACTAGGTAGACTCGCCAAAGTCACCCAGTGAATTTTATAGCTTCATGTCAACCTGAACCTGGATCACCTGAATCCTAGGGAGCATCTACTTACTTACCTATTTATTTTTATTTAGTGTCAAAAGCATTGCATAAATATATTAGTATAAAACTGATAAAATAGAGGAGACACAAATGGCTAGATAACTAGAACAAAAACAACAGCAACCGCATTGTCTGTAGCTTTAAACAGTTCTTCCTCTGTGCATGAGGCAGGGCATTGCGGGCAAGCATACAAGATGGAGGATTCTTCTAGGTAGTGCCATTTAGCCAGGTTGTCTTTTGATCTGCCAACTCCACTTCTGAGTCTGTTCAAGTTGCCCATTCTTGCTTTGCCCCTGGAGGAAGACCCTTGTAGGGAGCCATCCAGTTGGGATTTCCTGGTTTGGCTGCCCAGAGGATTACTCTTCCTGTTGCTGGGAGAATATTGAGAGGAGTGGTGGTTCTCCTTTTCCTTGATTAGAGTCTACTGGGAGGAGGCTGATAGCCATGCAGTGAATGGCTTTCACAGTGTTCAGCCTTATTTCGTTCAGAGTTAGCAGCAACTTCCTGTCTCTCATTGGGGGTGGGGGAATGCCAGCTACCTTATAGAGCAGGTATCCTCAAACTACAGCCCTCCAGCTGTTTTGGCCTTCAACTCTCAGAATTCCTGACAATTAACAAGCTTGTTAGGATTTCTGGGAGTTGGAGGTCCAAACACCTGGAGGGCCGCAGTTTGAGGATGCCTGTTATAGAGTCTATCAACAGGTGTAGATTTGAGATATCCTGTGATGTCTACGTGTTTCGTTCAATGCTATATTCACTTGCTTCACATAGGCACACTGGTGCCAAACAGGGCAGCCATACTCAGCAGTTGAATAAGACAAGGCTGGGGCTGATGTAATTTTGGGTCTGCACCCCATGCGCTACCAGTAAGTTTCCGCAGGATGGTATTGCATGCAGCAACTTTGTGCTTGGTGTTCATACAGTGTTTCCTAAATGTTAGTGTTCGATCTAAGGTAACTGCCATGGTTCATTGCTAAGGAATCCTAGGATTTTTAGTTTGGTGAGGCTCTATCAGTCTTTGGCAGAGAAGACAAAGTTTATAAAACCACAACTCCCAGGATTCCATAGTATTGAATCTATTGAACCATGACATTTACAATGATATCAAGCTGCATGAATTCTATATTGTAGATGCACCCCAGGTCAAATCCTTTAACCACCACCGCAAACTGACTTCATAATCTGAATTGTGTCTAACATTTGCATCATGTTCCACAACCTGGAGCAGATGCACACCTTTGTTTTGTCTTTAGCTAAAAAAACCAAAACACAAAGGTGAAAATAAAACACTAACAATGCCTTTTACTAAAACAACCCAAAAGCAATAAAACACAATGCAAGCTTTCCAAGTTATTGGGAACATCACTAGGCAAAAATGGTGAATTAAAAATAATTGGAGAGGTAAGTGGTTGCTGTTATAGCCTTGAAATCCTTGGCTGCTTTACTGACATCTCATCCCCCTTCTCTTCTGCTCCCTTTCCTTTTACTTCAGCTGCCTGCCCTGAAGGACAAGACAGTTGTGTTTCATCTGGAAGCATCTTTCTGGCCTATTAAGATGCTGCTGCTACCACAGCGGCTGCTATGTGTGTTTGCATGCACACACACACACACACACACACGAATGCGTGTAAAAACCTCCCTTCCTCCCTCCCTCCCGCCTTCCTTTCCTCCCTCTCTCATTGCACCATCTGTCGTTCTTGCTCTCTTCTCGCCTCTGCTTCCAGGCGCCAGTCTCCTGTCCCCATTTCCCCTTCCTGCGCATCATCATGCTGGACATCTTCATTCTCATGTTTTTTGCCATTATAGGGCTGGTGGTCTTATCCTACATCATCTACATGTTGTAGCATCTCCGCTTGCACCTGATGGAAGACAGCTAAACAAGGAGGAAAGCGTTCCCTTCCCCATTTAAGGCAGCAGGACTGAAGTCTGGGATTTCCAAGTCTCCCTGGTTGACGGACTAACTGGTATTTAATACTCACATTGTATGCTTGCTACGCATGATTGGTTTTTTTTAATAGACTATATAGAGGGAGAAATAGAGATTCTGTTTTTTTTTCAGCCTTTGATTTCTGCATCTTTACTGAACAGAATGTGCTTTAAAAACAAATACCGATGTGGTAGTGGTGATGGTAATGAAAATGCTTTGGCTGTGATGATGAAGTCACTAATTTTTCTTGCTTGAGCATAGTACTCGTCCTTTTATAAAGGCTTATATATCTGTTCAGAATTATGCTTGCTTTTGTATTGTGTGTAGGATTGAACCAATCTACAATGCTATATTGTGACTGATACCTTCTGTAGCTTATGTCCTCTACCTATTCTCCCCTTGTGTTCTTATATATCGGCACCTTTTTCTTCTCCTTCTGTCTTAAAATGTGGATTTTTTCCCCTCCTGCAGATGGGAAACCCCACCCTGGTTTACAGTGATGTTTACCTCTCAACAGCATGGTGCCCCGACTGTTCTAGAGAAAGGTTAACCCTTTGCCAAGAGGATCGGCAAAGAGGAGAGTGATTCAGCAGAATGCCTTGAAGAAGTCTTGTCAGCTTTCAAAAGACCTGAACTGGGAATGCATCAGAAAAACCAGTTAACAACCAGCAACGAGATGGACACACGCTGAGAGAATAGGACAGGATGGTGGTGAGGGGAAGTCGTTGCCTCTGCTGTCCTCCAATGAAAGCAAGATTGATTTTTCTGTATGTCTTAGATACACAATCTTTACATGGAGAAAATATTATTTTCTGCTATTTTAAAGTTTTAGATTATAGAACATTGGCAAAGGCCCAGTGGAAGAGGGAAAGGAAACAGACTGATCTCTAACTGACCTAATGTTCACTACTCTGTGAAGTACCAGCACAGATGATATAGTTAGATTGGCTGTAGTAGATTCAGGGAAAGCCTGCTTGGAGGGACAAGGGCTATGTATTCGAAACCCCACATATATATCCCACTGAAAAATTATGTACCAGACACTGTGCATCTGAAGGTGCAGCTTTATGCTGCTACTCCTATCAATCCAAATGTTTATTTATGTTTTTTTAAAGAAAGGTTTTGAACAAAATATTTTTATACGTCGTTTCTTTCCCTTCAACCTATTCCAAGTAGAATATGTACTTGCACAAGGAACAAAAGGGTCCTGAAAAATAGAAAAGTGAGGTTTGTTTGGACTGATGGATAACTTGGGATACTCTCTCTCCAAATCGTAGCATGGTTGTAACCAGGGACAATCAGAGAGTGGGGGAGCTTTCCTAAAGATGTTTGTGTTATGATTTAAGACAGTGGTTCTCAACCTGTGCGTCCCTAGGTGTTTTGGCCTACAGCTCCCAGAAATCCCAGCCAGTTTACCAGCTGTTAAGATTTCCGGGAGTTGAAGGCCAAAATATCTGGGGACCCACGGGTTGAGAACCACTGATTTAAGAGCTGACAAAGTAACAAAATTTATCATAATTACTAAACAGAGAAAAAAAATCTGGCCTCTGAGGGAAATTACTTTTTTGTATCTTTGGCTTCTGTGTCAAGGATGAACAGCGGACTGGCAGAAAACTCCTTGCTGCTCTGTCAAAAATGGTGAAAAGGGAATATTCTGGGTGCATCTCAAATGTGGATAAACCGCTCCACTTGCCAGCTTCAGAACATATCAACTTGGTACTGGCACAGTTACTTTCTTTCCCATTGAATCTATGGGATTGAATTGGAAAAAGACAAAGCAACTGGAGAAAAAGAGGATCAAGGATGGGATGGAAAAGACAACTCTTTGCATTTTGCCTTCATAGTGAAAATGTGGCAGGCTTTAGAAAGTAGGACAGTTCTACCATGAATCTTTCCTCCATTTGCATGGTCAAATTCTTAGACAAGGATGGGCAAAGCATGATCCTCCAGATCAGTGGTTTTCAACCTATGGGTCCCCAGATGTTTTGGCCTACAACTCCCAGAAATCCCAGCCAGTTTACTAGCAGTTAGGATTTCTGGGAGTTGACGGTCGAAACATCTGGGAGCCAACAGGTTGAGAACCATTGCTTCAGATGCTGTTGGACTGCAACTCTCATCAGCCTTAGCAAGCACAGCTACTGGTAATAAATCCTAAGAGGGCAATTGCAGTCCAACAACATTTGGAGAGTGGCACTTTGCTACCTTGTTCTAAGGCCATTTTTTCTTAGAACAACTTACTAAAAAAATAAGAAACCATATCTCTGTCCAACACTCCCCCTTTCTATTTCTGTCTCTCTAACCCTCAGTAATTTCTGGAACACTGTGGAATAATATTTAAAATAAGTTACATTCAGGGCCCTGTCCTTTCTTGAGTTTCAAAAAATAAATTGAAAGAAAGACATTGACCGAAAGCTTTCTTCTTTCTCAACCTGGGACCGTCGAGATGTGGTGGACTGCAATTCCTATCTCCCACAGCCAACACAGTCTTTGTGGATCATGGCAGCTGCAGTCCAATTGAACCAGGTTAGTCATAAACTCCACTGGATGATTTTGAGCGAATCCCTTGCAAAGGAGGAGAGGAACAGTGAATTATGAGTTCCTTCATGTACACTGCTGTAAGTTCTTTAGATGAAAGGCAAAATATATGGGTGTTATAGTCCAACAAAAGGGTTGGCCACAGTTTCTCCATGCACCCACTTTTTCTATAAACTGAGAAATTATTATTGTAATGCAAGCAGTCCCTGAGTTACAAAAATCTGACTTACAAACAACTCACAGTTAAGAATGGGAGTGAGACAATAGGAAATGAAAGAAATCTACCTCTTCGGAAGGGAAATTCACTCCTGAAAATGTTATAATGGGGGGAAGGTGTCTAAATTCAAGTTTTGGCACCAATCCTTGTTTCCACAACAAACCAAAATGTTCAAAAACAGGTGAAATTTTCTGAAAAGGGGCCCAGACAACAAAACAAACACCACAGGGGTGTTAACCCTTCCCAATATTCCAAGGCCATCTGTGTGTGTGTGTGTGTGTGCTGGTGTGTGTGTGTGGTGCAGAGTGTGTGGCTAGTCATTCACTTGTCTCTATGCCTCTTGATATTAAATTCAGGAGTCCTCCAATTAAGTCAAATTGTGGGTCATTCTGGATAGATAAAAGCCATACTTTTGTTTCATATAGCACAGGGTTAACATATCGCTTTTTGTTTCCAAAGGAGGTCAGGAAGACCAACGACTTGGGTACCTTTAACAAGGAGTTAGACAAAATCCTAGAGTAAGATTGTCAATAAATATTGCAATGATGACTATGGCTACTGGACCAGACAGGATGTCTCTGAAATTCTGAAATATCTAAGCTAATAATGTTTTATGGTTGTAGAAGTCTGGAAAAGTCTGCTGTAGAGTTTAAGTAGTGTCCCTCCATCTACCCCCAACCTATGTGTTTGTAAACAAACTCAAATATTACAAAACACCAAGAAGTATATCATAAAGGGAAGGAAACCAAATCTGGGCAAATGTCTCATATTGCTTGGAGAACTGGAATTCACACCACAATAAGACACACGTGCATCAACTCAAAAGCAAGGCCAAGTTTTGAGTTGAGGTTCACAGTAACCTATCTATACAGTCCAGAAAAAAAATGTGGCTGTAACACAATAGACAGATTAACTGGAAAACATACTGATGAGTGTTCAAGAGCCCCTGCCAAGTTATACAAAATGGAATAGGTAGTTCACTTGTGATCAGAACCCAAACAAGAAAAAATACTCCCAATGTCCTGTTCCTTCTTGTGTCGGTTCCTAATACTTTAAAGCTGGAGTTACTGATGTGGGAAATAGAAGTTGCAATACTCTACTACCATTTTTGCCATCACAATTACATTTTTTCCAGAACAGAAAATATGGAAATGATTGTGGACATATTATAGGTTGTGTCTTTATACTGCACAATCAGTTTAGCTTGAACAATTCCCCCAATGTATGGCACCGATCACATGGAAAAACAACAACAGCTTTTCCCCATAGAACATCAGATACAGTACAACCTCCATATCCATGGAGATATATTCCTGAACTTACCATGGAAACAGGAAACCATGGAGAATAGCCTTATTGAAAGGTACAACTTCTGCTGGAAGCTACCATACACTTAAATTAGAGAACCCAGAAAAATCCTAGAGGGAATTCGATAGACCTTCCAACGTGACACCATGGTATGCAGAAAATGTAGAAATTCCTAGAGAAGACTTATTTATCAGATGCAGGTAGGTGAAACTACAAGTTTGGGAATCATACTACCATCCTAAATTAATTACTTGAATGGAAGACATCCTGCATCAGATCTGCCATGTTGTTTTCTCCCAGAACAAAGCTGATGATTCTTAATTTTCTTTGCCTGCCACTAAACTGGATCAACATTTCCACAGTTACCAAATTACCATATTTATTATTTTTCAGCCATGTAATAACCCCATCCCATCCTTCAGATATATTGATAATTGCTAATGATTGAAGCCCCCCATCTCATGGTCAAATCTCAGAACTAGGCGAGGATGGATACACTGCTTTCCAGCCCTAGCGCTGGTTAAATTGTGTATGTTATGAGGGAAGCCTGGCACTATGCAAAATGAAACCAAGAAAAGAAATCAACCCTTTTAACCCATTCTGGCTGAGGAAATACTGATTTCTGTGCCATCTACTTTTGATTGCTCTACCTCCACCAGGGGGCCCCTGGTAGCGCAGCAGGTTAACCCACTGAGCTGTTGAACTTGCTGACTGAAAGATCAGCAGTTCAAATCCGGGGAGCGGGATGAGCTCCCATTGTTAGCCTCAGCTTCTGCCAACCTAGTAGTTCGAAAACATGCAATTGTGAGTAGATCAATAGGTACTGCTTCTGCGGGAAGGTAATGGTGCTCCATGCAGTCATGCTGGCCACATGACCTTGGAGGCATCTATGGACAACACCAGCTCTTCGGCTTAGAAATGGAAATGAGCACCACCCCCCAGAGTCAGACACTACTAGACTTAATGTCAGGAGAAACCTTTACCTTTATACCTATCTGTTAGTAAATAACTATCATGAATTCTCTCAGTACTTCTTATTAATTTCAGTAACAGTGTGTTGCAATATCATAAAACTCTGTGCAACTCTAATTTCTACGTGCCTTGGTGTCTTCTTGAATATGAATAATGCACATAAAACAAAAAGTCTTTAATGTGTACTCATTATTTCTCATTTTTGTTTAATGCAATGTTATATAAATAGAAACATTTTAGGCGACATGGTTTATTTACAATTAAAACGTTGATCTCAGCATATATTTTAGTATTAAATATATAATTCCAACTTCACTGAGAATTACAGAAAAGTTGTAACTGAGCAGTAATTTAAAGCCAGAAATATATTTTGGAGTCATTTTGAGTATGGTAGGCGAGAGTACTGGCACCATGAGAGAAAGAGGAAAAATAAGAGCAAAAGGAGTTTGTTTAACTGCTGATGGAGAGTTACTTTCCAAACTCCAAATATTTTCACAAGCTGTTGTCCATGGTTAGATAGAGGATTTCTTTGTGAAAATTTGCTTGTGCATTCACAAGATGGAATAGATTTAAGAAGCTGCTGTCTTCCTCTTCATGCACCCCTAAGCAAAAATAAGTAACAGGTTAAAAGAAGCACGTTCCTTTTCAAATGTGGAAACCAGGCTCTGCCTCACTCAAAAAAATCTAAAGTAGTCAACATGTGTCAAACACAAATGTGGCGCTCCATGTCATTTTATGTGGTCCTCCAGATGCTGGACAACAACTCTGGTATTTCACATCATTAAACATAGAGTTGAGGGAGTTATGATACATTAACATCTGAAAGGCCACAGTTTGTACTGTTTAGTCAGGAGAGTGGGGTTTGAATTTAGATACATGGCTTGTGGATATGATGCCTGACTTTAAAATGTCCTTTAACCTTTCCCCAACCTCAGAGCCACAAGTGCTGTTGAGTTGCAATTCCCATTGTCAACAGTCCACATGACAGATAATTGAAAGCATAATTGTTGTTGCAATAACATCTGGAGACTGATAATATAGTTGATCCTCTGTATCCATGGATTCTCTGTCCATGAATTAAATGGCCCCTAAAAGGCAACCATGAGGCTGATGTACCCTTAATGAAAATGACTTTGACACCCCAAAGTAGTCCTGTCATTAAATTAAAGGGCAGGCTTCCTGTCCAACAGTTAAGATATCATAAGATAGACCTGTGATATCTTCATTACTGAAATGACAGATTCTATGTGATCTCAAAACCTGACCGTCGCAACCTGGCATCATGTTAAACCAAAGAGATTTTGAGAAGCTGGAGATCAGAGAGCTCTGAAATGATGTCCACCCTTTTCTTTGTGTGGTACCATGGGACAAGCATTTATGACAGGACCTTGAGAGGCCCTTTGGAACACCGCAGATGCTACTTTTCAGGGCTCCAATCAAAAATGCTCCAGTGCCAGACAGAGAAAGTAGTTTGGGATGGGCATTGCCATTCATAATTAAGTTTTTTTAAATTTATTTTTTATTGAGAATAAAATAGATTCAAGAAAAGAGAGAGATAATTTTCCTTAACATTCATAATTAAGTTTGACAATGCTGCAGGTTTTCAGCCAGCATCTTAATAGCTTTAATTTGTTATGCACAAATCCCATTTAATCTTCATTTTTTCCTTTATTTATCTTCTGATTCTGTTACATATTGACTGTTTTGGTTGCATTTTTGTAAACAGGTGGAAAGCCAATAGCCGTGCTATACATGCTCATAGTGATTTATAACTATGCTGTCTTTCATTTGTAATATGAAGCGTGACATTTAGAGAATTGCAATTATAAAAGGATTCTCAATCCAGATGTTCAATGAGCTTAAGGAAGAAAATCGTTCCTGTTTAATGCATGTTCCCCAAGAATCCACATAATATTCACTACTACATTTCTATTGAGATCCTGGATATAATTTTTTGTATTATGAGTTTGCTTTATAAATAATATAGGAAATAAATTTAATAAGGAGAAGATTAAATCATAAATATGAGAAATAAAAGGGCAGGAGGGGACAAGTAAACTGTCTGAAGTCTAAGCTAGATACTACACAAATACTTGTTTGAATTTCTGGATTTTATAAAAGTAGAACAGTAGCTGGGGAATGAGGCTGGAGAGGTCAAGATTAGGATCATTTCAGACTAGGAGCCATTTAAAAAGTTTTTATCTTATAGCACTCATTAATATAATCCACCAGAAGCTTTTACTTCTCAATAGTAATTCAACTGTCCCAATTTGTCAGGATCAGTTCTGACTGATTTTCTGTCATCCCACTTTTAAAATTGCTTTGAAAATGTCCATGTTTCTTTCTCCTTTGCCTCTTTGTCGTAACCTTACATGAATTGCTGCAACCTGGCTTCAAAGTGCCAATTAACTCAATTAACTTAGTAGAAAGGGAAGAAGAAGGGGTGGAATCATACCTTTCTATGTAGCAAAAGGAAACTGTTGCAGCCTCTCATAGCTTGCGTGACCTTCCTCATTAACAATTTTTGCCATCATGACCACACACTGGTGTTGCTGAACCAAATGTGTCTCCATTTTCATCAGTAAAATGTTGGAGGGTATGCATATGCTTTTATTTGGGTGGATACTAATCAAGATCATGGCACAAAGGGAAATAATGAAACTACTGCCCCTAATTCATGGTAGTTCCAATCTTAATCCTTGTCCCTTTGGTTGATACTTGCTCATCCCCTCCTCCCACAACACACACAGAAAAGGAAAGGGATTATAAATTCTATGTTTATCATCTAGGTTTGCTCTACCTTAAATAAACTGTTCCAATAAATGCAGGAAATACTTTAATGGAACAGAATATATGCTCAAAGGTGTTGGAGATACTAGCATTTTTTTGAAAATGCAAAGGAAGAATTTAAAGCCCCAGGGGAAGATATTTTGTTGAAATCTGTTGGGACTCGATGCATTCAGTTAAAATATTTCCTGCATCTGTTAGTTAGAACGTCTTATTTGATGACAGAGAATAAATAGCACTTGCATGTAGAAGCAGCACCAAGGCAAACTGACATCTTTAAGTTAGATGATAGCAATGAGCAAGGGATAGTAATTCTACTACTGCATTTCTTACCTGATATCACTGACTGTAGCGCGTCCATGATAATCTGTGCAAAAGCATTCTCTACACTTTGCAAGAAGTTGTTTCTTTCAGTTGGGGTACTGAAAACCTTGCAGACTTTCTGCATCATTTTTACAGCCCAGTCCATGCAATAGAGGTCTTTCTCACACACCTGGGGCAAAAAGTAGGAAATAATCATAAATTGATGTTGCAGTGTTGTTGTGGTCAACAGTTAGATGCCTTTATTCCCCTCCTTCCACTTCTTTGCACTCACACCATTAAATGTCACAAGACCCAACATTTACATAATAATAATAATAATAATAATAATAATAATAATAATTATTATTATTATTATTATTATATATAATAAACTCTCCAGTGATCAAGCTGGCTATTGTACAGGGCTCTGACATTGCTTTCTTAACTTGCTTGTCATTTAATGTTTCCTCATGTTCCTCTGCAGTGGGTTGTGGGTTATCTATGCTACATAAGCACCTTGCCGTGGAAATTCAACAGCAAATTAAATACCGTATATTCTGGAATACAAGGCGACTGGGAGTATAAGACGACCCCCCAACTTTTAAAGATAAAATACAGAGGTAGGGATATACTCGCCGTTTAAGACTACTTCCCTCTTGGAAGACTATGCCCCTGCGGCCCCCACCGTTCTCCATTCAAGGACCTTCTTGCTCTCGCCGCTTGCCTCCTCTGAAGGCCACTAGGCTTGCCTAGGCCCAAGGAAGCATCTCCAGATGACTCCTAGCAGCACTGGGCGACGGCGTGCCTTGGATGTGCTCCCAGAGGCATGCTGGGAGCAGTAGTTCCCTGACTCCTACTGCTCCCAGCATGCCTCTGGGAGCATATCCAAGGCATGCTGTCGCCCAGCGCTGCTAGGAGTCGGTATCCGGAGGCACTTCCTTGGGCCTAGGCAAGCCTTCGGAGAAGGTAAGTGGCGAGGGCGGAGGAGGTCCTTGAATGGAGAGCGGAGGGGGCTGCAGGGAAAGCCTGGCGGACCATCACCCCCAGCCGGTCTCCGCGGCAATGCGGCCTGCCACTCCTCCTCCCTCCTCCTCCTCCCTCCCTCATTCCTCAAGCTGCGCCACTAAGGGCGATTTTATTTTTTCTTTTACTTATTATTTTAATTTATACCCAGCATACTAGATGACCCCCGACTTTTCATAAGATTTTCCAGGCTTAAAAAGTTGGAAAATACGGTAATTAGGCTCCAGCTATCCACCAACATTCCGTTTTCCGTTCTTGAGTTGAGAATATAGTAACTGATTTGGAAGATGGTGATCATGCATTTGGACAATGTGGCTAGCCCATCAAAGCTGATGGGAGAAGATCATCACTCCAGTGCTAGTGGTTGTTGCTTCTTCTGGAAAGTTGACATTTATTCACCAAGAGATTTGCAGGATATTTTGGAGGCAACACTGATGAAATTGTTCCAGAAGTTGAGAATGATGTTTGTAAATGTTCCACATTTTGCTTGTGTATAACAAAGTTGGGAGGACAATAGTTTCATAAAAAAGCATCTTGGTACCCCTATTTTTTTGTTGTGTCAGGAGCAACTTGAGAAACTGCAAGTCGCTTCTGGTGTGAGAGAATTGGCCATCTGCAAGGACGTTGCCCAGGGGACACCCGGATGATTTGATGTTTTTTATCATCCTTGTGGGAGGCTTCTCTCATGTCCCCGCATGAGGAGCTGGAGCTGACAGAGGGAGTTCATCCGCCTCTCCCCGGATTCGAACCTGTGACCTGTTGGTCTTCAGTCCTGCCGGCACAGGGGTTTAACCCACTGCGCCACCAGGTGCTCCATGGTACCCCTATGAATGCCCTCATCATCCAGTTATTTGAAGGATAGTCTAGAGAGCATTCCAATTAAGTGCAGGGTACGCCTATGAATGTCCTACACTGAATTGCAGTGCTCTCTCAAATAATTGGATGACCTGATAAATTCATGAACATCTCGCGGACCCCTCCATGATGACAACAGTCTTGGATAGCAATGGCTTCCAAAGTGGAAACAGATGTCAAACAGAGATGTGTTATTGCCCTAACCTTATTTTCCATCTTTATCGCTATGATACTGCACCTTGTTGATGGGAAGCTTCCCACCGGTGGCGGAAATTGAATAGCTCTCAAGCTATTTAAACTCAGTAGACAAGTGGTTCTCAACCTGTGGGTCCCCAGGTGTTTTGGCCTTCAACTCCCAGAAATCCTAACAGCTGGTAAACTGGTTGGGATTTCTGCGAGTTGTAGGCCAAAACACCTGGGGACCCACAGGTTGAGAACACTGCAGCAGACTGAAGCCAAAACCAAGGTCACAAAAATGTCTGTTAGAGAAGTCCAGTATGCTGATGATAATGTAGTCTGTGTTCATTCAGAAAAAAACCCTACAAGCCATTCTAAACATCTTTGCAGAGGAATAAAAAAAAAACTTCTCACTGAACATAGAGAAAAACAAAGAGCTCTTTCAGCAGGCACCAGCCAATCTCTCTGCAATGTCAGAAATACAGCTTAATGGTGCAACAATAGACAACGTTGACCATTTCCGCTACCTTGGTAGTAAACTCTCAACAAAAATTAACATCAGCACTGAAATACAGCACCGTCTGAGCTCTGTGAGTGCAGCAATGCAAAGGATCTATAACCAGCTTGCAAAAGGTTTGGGGTATATACCCCTTCCTTTCTCCTCAAAAATTCACACATATATCCCTCCAGTGTTAAGGAGAGCTCCCCAAGCACTGGTCACCTTCTAACTGGGATGGCAAATGGGGCATGGATAAATTTTGCTGTTATCTTTGATTGCAGATCTGAGGTTTCCCCCAGCTGCTCCCCTCCAAATGACCCTTCTGGCATTCTGAATGGGGAATGTGAGCAAAGCAGGTGGGGGAGGGCGGAAGGGAGCGAATCACATTGTTATCTTCAAGCTCAGAAAACATAATCCTTACAATGGGGTCTGCAAAGTGGGTCAGTCAGTATAATAATAATTATTATTTCCACTTAGCAGACAGGATATTGAGGATATGAGAGAAAGAGGCTGGTCTAAGGTTATCTAGTGAACAAGAGCAGCCCAAGCTCTCTGACTGTCTAAGGATGAGATGTGAAACACAATGTCCCATCATTTGAAGAGGAAGGTGCAGGGCAGTGATGTCCACTAACAGAAGGAAGTAGTAGACACTGTAATGACATCACCAGCACCACAAAGCCCCAGACAGACACTGTGGAGGTGGCTGCGGTCACACGCCCTTTCTTCTTAGGAGAAAGGTGCTGATTGTAAATGCTATTGATTGTAACACGCAGCCTAATTTCAGTATCATCACTACCAACAAAAATATGTAAGATACACCTGCAATTCTAAGATGCACCCCACTTTTAGAGATATTTATATGGGGAAAGGTGTGCTTTAGAATTGAAGAAATATCGTATGCTGATCTCCAAGATAAAAGTTAGATGAAGCATATTTTGATTTGATACTCGCAAGCCCAAAGAGTAAAACCAACCATTAAGGGCATAAGAAAAAGAGAGCAAAATCTAAATGAACTATTTATTCAAGAATAATTACACAGTCTTAAAATAAAATGTTTTCCCCATTCTCCATTTAAAGCAATATACAACACTATTCTGCATGCTGCCATAGAAACATTCTAAGGCAAGATAATTCGTTTGCAGGATTCTCAGAGATGCTATAAAATTGTCTTCTTTAAAAAACATTCTATGGAAACCTTATTAATTTGAGCAATTTACCCAAAAACTAAATTAGGTATGAAATTATGTGATTGTGCTTAATGTGTGTACATTTTTTCTTCTAGATAACTGTGAGATATGTTATGGGGATGAGCAAGAATCAGATATTAGAGCATAATAAGGTGGGGGCTAGCACCCCTTCCATGCAATTCATCTGATGATGATCCTCTCCTACCACAAAACAACTGTTAACCCATTGAAGCCAACTGTAGCTTTCCTTCAAGCCAAATAGCTGCTGGTGAGGATTAATTGAAAGTGTAAATGAGGAGGAAGCATTAACCCTTTTATCTGCAAGCTATAATCTTGGTCCTGATTGCATCCCCTCTCTACATAGCTTTTGTTTAAAATAAAATTTGTCAAACACACTCAAATAAATCCACAAAAGTTAATATAATATCTAATTTCACTTTCTGGTGGGAAAAATAAGATGCCCAATCAAAAGTAAACATTATGGTTACTCACCAAAGCCAAGAAAACCACCAATCTTGCCAGTTCAATAGCTCGGCCATTCACAGCTTTGCTAGCCATAAAAGTGAAGCAGATATTGTTTCCACACAAGATAAGAAGCCGGGCGCTGTTCTCCAAAAGCCATTCCCGAGGAACTACTATAAAAATATAGCAAAACTCTATAGATGTGATTTCATTTTTTAAAGTTATTTGCTACTTTTGTAAATCTCATTCCCTCTAGGTACAAAACAGAATCCCAGTCAACAAATGAAACAAGTTTAGAAATCAAACAAATAAATGCACTATAATTGGAATTCGGGTGCTTGAAGTGTTGAACCTTCTCTCCTGTGAAGGAGCGTCCCTGTCTTCTTACAAAGGGAGAGGATCGGTTCAAATTCTGACTATTGTGAAAAAGCATTTTTATTGATTTTTTAATGATGGAGAGATGTGTGAAGGTTTTTGCCTCATGAGCCCACCCTCCCCCTACCTAAAACCCCCCAGCAACAACAACTGGGTGCTATCAAAGAACAACAAAGAGAGGTTGTTGTATGTTTTTCGGGCTATATGTCCATGTTCTAGAAGCATCCTTTCCTGACATTTTGCCTGCATCTATGGCAGGCATCCTCAGAGGTTGTGAGGTCTCAAACCTCTGAGGATGTCTGCCATAGATGCAGGTGAAATGTCAGGAGAGAATGCTTCTAGAACTTGGCCATATAGCCCAAAAAACCTACAACAACCCAGTGATTCCAGCCATGAAAGCCTTCAACAATACATTGAACAAAGGGAGGGTTTCATCATCCTTACTCTCATTCCATGTACCAGACAGATAACACTATGGAACATGGTTTTTGTTCCTGGGTTATAAATGCCATTTCCTAATTGGTTCTATCATAAAAACACAGTAAAAGCTTATTAAACTGCAAAAAATGTTTTGTGGGACATTCTGCAGCACATTTTGCTATAGTTTTTCAATGAATATCTCGAGTCTCAATCAATTGGACATAATAATAATAATAATAATAATAATAATAATAATAATAATAAGTACTTTATTCTTGTATTCCCGCCACCATCTCCCTGAAGGGACTTGGGGCGGCTTACACATGGCACAAGGTGCCTAAAAACAGAACATAAAATGAAACACAGTTTAAAATACAACTAAAATAAACCATAGACGCATATAAAACAACAACTAAAACTCAATTAAAACAGCACTCATCAACCAATGGCGGTTTTGTGGCAGTCACAAAAATGAAGTTTCTGGAGTATAACAACTTTCAAAGTAATGACCACAGGATTAAACAGGAAATTACACTTTCAAACCAGGTACAGGATTTTTTTTCAATTTTTGTTATACAGTGTAATTTCTTTACCAGCAAAAAGTATAATTTGACACACCTGAAGGTGAATTAGGGCAGTGATTCTCAATCTTTAATGTTTTGAGATCTAGTTCTCGGGACTGAAGTTTAGGGGTCACAGAGTGGGTCACACACAGTGCTATCCCTTCTGTGCAGCTCAACATCTATCTACCCGTGAAGCCAGCTACCTGACACCACCAAATAGTAAATCTAGCTTTTTGGGGACAATCAGCACTAATTGCATAGAGAATAAAAATAGTCTTGTACCTGAAAGTTCGTCCACCAGACTTATGACATCATCTGCTGTCCACTCTTTTGCTTCTATATCATAAAGTAGTTTAATAGCATCTGCCAGTCCTTTCAAACTTGTTTCGTCAGTTGGACCATCAATCATTTTATGCCAAACGACATGCCCTGTAGTGTAGTATTATAAGGTTATTGAATGGAGATTCCACTTGAACATCACGAAGAACTTCCTGACTGTAAGAGCTGTTCAGCAATGGAACTCTCTGCCTTGGGGTGTGGTGGAAGCTCCTTTGGAAGCTTTTAAGCAGAGGATGGATGACCATCTGTCAGGGATATTTTGTGCTTTTCCTGCATGGTAGGGGGGTTGGACTAGATGGCCCAAGTGGTCTCTTCCAAGTCTTCTGTTCTATGAGTTTATGAATTAATTTTGTTCAAAAGCTACCAGTATCCCTTTCCCATTCCATGAAGTGCCCTGCTTTCAGATGTGTGACTCCTAGCATTAGTTAATCATTTTTTCTGTAAGCTCAAAGTGGAGTTGGAATTTATTTTCATGCTAAGGGAAATAATACATTTTTCTTGTATGAGTAATCTCACTGAATGCCATCCTATACTGGGAATGTGCCATAGCAGGTCTAAGGAGGTTTCTGAACTATGCAATTGTGTTTATTTATTTGGAAATAAATGCTTGGAATCTTCTAATCACAGCTCTTCTAGCAATTTTAGAGACAGAAGTCACAGATCGCTCTCTGTCTGTTTCTATTTATGCCTTAATTAATTAAAATAGCTTACCATCCAGACTACAGGCCGGCCCAAATATTATATAGAGTAGCCGAGCTTGATTTACCATTGGCCATGGCTTCAAAATACGTGACAGCCAAAATGCAGAATCACCATGATGGATCCAATGGTTCAGAAGAACATTCCGGCAAAATATCCTTATCCTCAGTTCCAACTTTCGAGCACTTCCTAGGGCAAATCATAATATTACATAAGAATCAATTTGAATGCAGAGCAGCCTACAGTTCGAATATGACATAGTGTCATGGAAAATAAGCTGTTGGAATGGGCACTTCTTAAAATTTACAATCTCATTCTTAACGCCTATACTTCAAAGTAAGGACACTGCAGGATATGCATTTTAAAATATTTCTGCATGGCCTTTCAGCCCACAAGAGCTCCTAAATCAATGGACAAATAAAAAACAGTCAAAACAATACAAATAACAAAGAAATTGAAATTAACCCTGTGCTGCCTAACATACTATTTACCAGGTTTGCTGCTGACAACTGTCTGTACTCTGCGAGCTAAATTGCTCATATCACAAAGGAAATTGTAAACCCGATGACATTCTAGTTCATCCCAGCCAGCTGTTAAGGTCTGAAAAATAAAAATTAAGATAATATAGTCATAACTATCAACAAGTTACTCTGTGAGACTTGTGTATATTTTTCAGTGCATTTTATCATGTGTCTTAATAGTCAGGGATGAGTAGCAAAAGATGAGAGAAGACCTGGGAAAGAGAACTAGAAAGAGGTTGCTATTTTGGATGATGCCTTGAATCTTCAAGCCAGCATGATGCTGTCTGGGGAATTGAAGTCCAAAAAGGCAACCTATCCACACTTATGTCATTATCATACCTCCAAAAACACTAATACCTCCAAACACTAAGGGAGAATGATAAAAAAGTACCGTAAGGAATTGCCATATCTGCCATATCCAATCAGCCTATTTCTATAGTGCAGTGATTCTGAATCTTTTTTTGACCAGGCACCACTTCCAACATTAGTACCAAAAGGGTTATGAATCAGTTTCTGATCAATTGTAGATTCAGTTTGGTTATTTGGGGTGCTGATTCAGGAAAATTGTGCTGAAGAGACCATATCAGCTCTAGTTTCTGATACAGAACATATACCATCCAGTAGTCGCCATCTGCTCACCAACTTTAATATGCCTTGGCAGTATAAGAGGGTTTTGCGAGACCAGTCGCTCTTGTTGCAATGGTGAGGCTACGGACCATATTTTAATTCTTGCGGACCACTGGTAGTCCATGGACCACAGGTTGGGAACCACTACTCTGTTTTCTCTCCTCCCACTGCCCTTTCCACTGGCATAGATAGTTACTGTGAGGTCACCTAAATTGTAGAACTAATGCAGTTTGGTATTTGTCTGGGCTCATTGCAATTCAAGGTAATACTTTGTGTATATGACAAAGTATACAAGATTCAATATTATCCAAAACTCTCAGTATTTAAGGCATCACAAGCTCGTTGTTTTTACCTGTAAAAACACCCCATAACACAGTAGTCCTGAACAGTGCAATGGATCTGTGCAACCATTAAGCTTAAAACAGGAAACCTATAAAAATTAGACAAAAGAAATCCCTCAGTGTATTTTGTTCATTAATTAACTGACACAAGAAAATTAATATGCTAATAAATTCAATGCCTTTTTTAAGAACATGCAATTCACTGCTTACTTCTGCAAATATCTTTTGTATGTATTTCAATCTCTCCTTTGTAGGAAGCAGAAAGGTACACCTTTTCAGTAACAGGCCTACAAAGGAAGAGAAGCACACAACAATATTTTAAACAAAATATTTTAAGGATCGTTACTAAAAGATCCTGTAATGAATTATGAAATGGAAGCAAAACTTTACATTGTTTTAGAGAAAAGCTTTCCAAACTGTTATTTTGAGACATACTATACTAGTGTGTTGCCTGTAGTCCCTAGGATTATATGAAATATATGTATTATACATTATATATATATATATATATATAGATAGATAGATAGATAGATAGATAGATAGATAGATAGAGAGAAAATCTGATAAGGGTTTGGTTTAACCTATGATTTGTCAGTAAAACTGAATTATTGTGTCACAAAAGGATGCACGTCTAAAACGTGTGTCACCAACATAAAAAAATTTGAAAGTTCTTCTTTAAGATGATAGCTATTCTCTTCTTTTAAATCCCAGTAGATCTGTTTTTCCAGAAAATTATTTTCTTTCTTGTTTACTTTCTCCTCTCCTGCCACCAGATTCAATTATAAGCTAATGGTACTGCTCACTGAAAATCTGTGCTCTCCCGCCTCTACTTGTTGCTTCTATCACAAAATCAAAGACTTCTAAGAAACATCCATGTTGCCCATATTATATATAGCATATACAATGAACAGTACTATATACATGTCTAGTATTTTCGTTACTAGTTGAAGTGTCTTTACTTAAATGAATGCTTAAAGGTAATTCACGTGATCTCGACAAAGTCAAACTGCTCCAAGTTAAATGAGTTATACAGCAATCTGTAAAGGAGAAATGTTGTAATGCCTATGCCAAATTCAGCTTTTCTTGTTCTGAGGCTTGCACATCAAAACATCTTAGATATAATTGTTTTGAAAAGGTCACATATGTAAGATTTGGAACTTGCAAGAAAGATTGCATCATTCTTAAAAATGACATTTGCTAAGCAATAGTATTAAAAAGGAACATAAATGAATTTGAAAATGCTGTTGAAAAAATAGTGTTATTCTTGTTTTTCAGAGATGGCAGAAGTCCCMCCCCCCCCCCCCCAAATGATGTAGGAAGAGAAATTATTACAGATTGTATAACATAGCACACAAAAAGGAAGTGACAAGAGTTGGTTTCTCATGTTGTAAAATTTTAAACTGTTTGTGGTAGGAAAAAATGCCCAAGTCAATGGAAAATTACTGTTTCTTTAATGATCTGGATAAACACTGCATTGTCTGGGAAAACTGGCAGTGAATTATCAGTGTGGGTAATAAAAATATATATTTGGGGATGCTGGCAAAGAAAATGCAAAATAGGCTCTGAAGGGTAAAATGAGAAAACATGTCTATTTACTTAGCCACTGAAACAAAGCTAGTGTAATATAATGGCTACAGTACTGGATCTCCAACAGAGACACTTGAGCTGACTAGTTAAAGTCAATGGGTGACCATGTTGTTCTTCCACTAGAAGGCAAGACGTTTTGCTGTAGCACTGCTACATTGTAAGGAATCTAAATTGTCTTGCAACCTATCTCTTACCTTAGTATTACCCACGTGCCAGAATACACTAAGTGCTCCGAATGCCTTTGACCCATGTGCTTTTATTTATTTCGTGTCAAATCATTGCATAAATAAATAAGTATAAAAACATAAAGGGAGCACAAGCAGCTAAATAATTTTTGACTAAAAATGGGCAGCAATGACTGCATTGTCTGTAGTTTTAACAGTTCTTCCTCTGTGCATAAGGCAGGACATTCTGGGCAAGCATATAGATGATGAGTTGTTTGTTCTGCTGCACAATTTCACAAAGTGGAGGATTCTTCTAGGTCTGTGGATCTCAACTTGTGGGTCCCCAGGTGTTTTGGTCTACAACTCCCAGAAATCTCAGCCAGTTTACCAGCTATTAGTATTTCTGGGAGTTTAAGGTGAAAACATCTGGGAACCTAGGTAATGCCATTTTGCCAGATTGTCTATTGATCTGCTAATTCCCCTTCTGAGTCTGTTCAGGGACTTCCAAGTTGCCCATTCTTGGTTTTTCCTTGGAGGAAGATCCTTGTGGGGGATCATCCAGTTGGGATTTCCTGGTTTAGCTGCCCAGAGGGATACCCTTGCTGTTGCTGGGGGAACATTACAAGGACTGGTGATTCTCATTAAACTTTTCCTTGATTTGAGTGTACTGGGAGGAGGCTGATAGCCATATAGTGGGTGGCTTTCACAGTGTTCAACCTTATTTCTCTCGCAATTGGCAGAAAATTCTCATCGCACATCAAGGGGGCAATGCCAGCTAGCTTATAAAGTCAAAGGTATTATTGGAGGCTTTCATGTCCGGAATCACTTGGTTGTTGTTGGTTTTTCAGGCTGTATTACCAAGCTCCTATGAAATATAGCCTACAGAACCTGGTATTCCTTGGTAGTTCCTCACCCAAGTACAGGCTTGATCATGCTCTGCTTCCATGATCAGATGGGGTCTGGTGCCTAACTTTACACAAATTGATCAGGTGAACAACTGTAGAAAGAGGACAACACCAAAGTAAGCTAACTTAACTCATCCGAGACTGAAATGGGCATTTCCATTCATTGTATTGTCGAAGGCTTTCATGGCCAGAAGCACTGGATTTTTGTAGGCTTTTTGAGCTATATGGCCATGTTCTAGAAGCATTCTCTCCTGATGTTTCACCTGCATCTATGGCAGGCATCCTCAGAGGTTTGAGACCTCACAACCTCTGAGGATGCCTGCCATAGATGCAGGAGAAATGTCAGGAGAGAATGCTTCTAGACCATGGCCATATAGCCCGAAAAAACCTACAACAACCCAATGATTCCGGCCATGAAAGCCTTCAACAATTCAAAGGTATAGGTTTAACGTAATTGCCCATCTCTGTATTCCATTTCACTGCCAAAATTATGCCATTCCATATTTATATCTAAAGCTTGAGTGTTGTATTTCATCACAAAATCAGAGGAACCAACAAATGCATGTGCAAACATAAATAATCTGGCCTCAAAAGGTGGCACAAGATTTTTTTCCTGCTTTCCTTCCCCCATTTTTTATACTGAAGTCTATTTGAGGAAAGCAGATGTTGAAAGTTTTCAGAAAGAAATTAAGCATCATGCTATTACATCTCTCTTTCAAAATGACCTCTCCTGAAACTCATTTGATGGAATTGAAAGATATAACATGTATTTCTTATGCATATGTGTATAGAGATCACTTGTGCAAATGGGGAATCTTGTTAAAATTTATATTAAGTCCATCTTGTTGACCCCGAGATACTTCTGCAAAACTACATTGACATTAAGCAACTCAAAGCATTATATATGAACCTATTTGCAGGTGGGAGCTAGATTTCAATTATTTACATGATGAAAAAGGAAAATATGTCTTCCCCATAACAGATTTATTCAACATTATAGCTTCTGGCGGAATTATAAATCCTGTATGGTATAGTTATCCAGGTAAAATATTCCATACTATTAATTCTAGATATGTAAATAGTAAGGAATTCTTGTAAGATGCCAAAAAAGTTTTACTGAACTCCCCTTTAAATATTTCCAATTTACATTTTTTTCATATTTACGTTCATTTATTTTATAATTCATTTTATGGAAGAAAAATCCAGCCAAAGGGTAATTTTCAGCTGCCTTCCCATAAATTATAAAATATTTGTGCTTTACACAGTTTTGCCTCCAGCAAAGGATCACCGCCTTGTCGGGGCGCTGGAGCTTGAGCACCTCAATGATGTCATGAGCGAAACCGTGAAGGGACACCCAAGACGGGACGGTTGTGGCAGAGAGGTCAGACCAAGCGTGATCCCTGGGGAAGGCAATGGCAAACCACTCCAGTATCCTTGCCAAGAAAACTAAATGGACCAGTACAACCAGAGATATGTCGGTATGCCATTGGAAGATGGGACTCCCAGGTCGGAAGATGGCCAAAATGCTACTGGGGAGGAGGAGAGGATAAGTTCAACTAGCCCCAGATGTGATGACGCAGCTATGACAACAGGGATCACAGGCAAGCATGGTCTGGGAGAACAAAATGAAGCTGGAAGCAGGCTGATAGAATTTTGCCAGGAAAACTCGCTGTGTATAACGAATACTCTCTTCCAACAGCCTAAAAGACGGCTTTACACATGGACCTCACCAGACGGTCAACACCGAAATCAGATTGACTACATCCTTTGCAGCCAAAGGTGGCGGACATCCATCCAGTCAGTGAAAACAAGACCTGGGGCTGACTGTAGCTCAGATCACGAACTTCTTATTGCCCAATTTAGAATAAAACTAAAGAGATCAGGGAAAATACACAGACCAGTTAGATATGATCTCACTAACATTCCTAGCGAATATACAGTGGAAGTGAAGAACAGATTTGAAGGACTAGATTTAGTAAACAGAGTCCCAGAAGAACTATGGACAGAAGTCCGAGACATTGTTCAGGAGGCGGCAACAAAGTATGTCCCAAAGAAAAAGAAAACCAAGAAGGCAAAATGGTTGTCTGCTGAGACACTGGAAGTAGCCCAAGAAAGGAGGAAAGCAAAAGGAAACAGTGAAAAGGGGAGATATGCCCAGTTAAATGCGCAATTCCAGAGGTCAGCCAGAAGAGATAAGGAACTATTTTTAAATAAGCAATGCATGGAAGTGGAAGAAGACAACAGAATAGGAAGGACAAGAGACCTCTTCCAGAAAATTAGAAACATTGGAGGTAAATTTCAGGCAAAAATTGGTACGATAAGAAACAAAGATGGCAGGGACCTAACAGAAGCTGAAGAGATCAAGAGAAGGTGGCGAGACTATACAGAAGATCTGTATAGGAAGGATAATAATATTGAGGATAGTTTTGACGGTGTGGTGAATGAATTAGAACCAGACATCCTGAGGAGTGAGGTTGAATGGGCCTTAAGAAGCATTGCTAACAACAAGGCAGCAGGAGATGACGGGATCCCAGCTGAACTGTTTAAAATCTTAAAAGATGATGCTGTCAAGGTGATGCATGCCATTTGCCAGCAAATATGGAAAACACAAGAATGGCCATCAGACTGGAAAAAATCAACTTATATCCCCATACCAAAAAAGGGAAATGCGAAAGACTGCTCAAACTTCCGTACAGTGGCCCTTATTTCTCATGCCAGTAAGGTAATGCTCAAGATCCTGCAAGGAAGACTCCAGCAATACATGGAGCGAGAGTTGCCAGATGTTCAAGCTGGGTTTCGAAAAGGCAGAGGAACGAGAGACCAGATTGCCAATATCCGCTGGATAATGGAGAAAGGCAGGGAGTTTCAGAAAAACATCTACTTCTGCTTCATTGACTATTCTAAAGCCTTTGACTGTGTGGATCATAATAAATTGTGGCAAGTTCTTAGTGGTGGGCATCCCAAGCCACCTTGTCTCTCTCCTGAGGAATCTGTACAAGGACCAAGTAGAAACAGTCAGAACTGACCATGGAACAACAGACTGGTTCAAGATTGGGAAAGGCGTACGGCAAGGCTGCATCCTCTCACCCAACCTTTTTAACTTGTATGCAGAACACATCATGCGATGTGCGGGGCTGGATGAATGCAAAGCTGGGGTGAATTGCTGGAAGAAACATTAACAACCTTCGATATGCAGATGATACCACTTTGATGGCCGAAAACGAGGAGCCGAGGAGCCTTCTAATCAATGTGAAAGAAGAAAGTGCAAAAGCTGGGTTGCAGTTAAACATAAAAAAAACCCAAGATTATGGCAACAAGAATGATTGACAACTGGGAAATAGAGTGAGAAAACGTGGAGGCCGTGACAGACTTTGTATTTCTAGGTGCAAAGATTACTGCAGATGCAGACTGTGGCCAGGAAATCAGAAGACGCTTACTTCTTGGGAGGAGAGCAATGTCCAACCTCGATAAAATAGTAAAGAGTAGAGACATCAGACTGGCAACAAAGATCCGCCTAGTCAAAGCCATGGTATTCCCTGTAGTAACCTACGGATGTGAGAGCTGGACCTTAGGGAAGGCTGAGCGAAGGAAGATCGATGCTTTTGAACTGTGGTGTTGGAGGAAAGTTCTGAGAGTGCCTTGGACTGCGAGAAGATCCAACCAGTCCATCCTCCAGGAAATAAAGCCCGACTGCTCATTGGAGGGAAGGATACTAGAGACAAAGTTGAAGTACTTTGGCCACATCATGAGGAGACAGGAAAGCCTAGAGAAGACAATTATGCTGGGAGAAAATGGAAGGAAAAAGGAAGAGGGGCTGACCAAGGGCAAGATGGATGGATGGCATCCTTGAAGTGACTGGCTTGACCTTGAAGGAGCTGGGGTGGTGACGGCCGACAGGGAGCTCTGGCGTGGGCTGGTCCATGAGGTCACGAAGAGTCAGAGACGACTGAACGAATGAACAACAACACACAGTTTTGCTGAACTTTAGGATGAGAGTTATACTGGATCATTATTCAATGATAATTTTCTTACACTTATGCTGTAGACTGCAAAAGTTTGGCACATAGACCTGTCCTTTCAAGGAATATCAAAATGCAAAAGGATCTTGTAGCAGTTTAGAGAATAAGAAACTGAGCTTGGTAGTCTACCTTCCCAGATGCATGGGAGGAAGTGCCTAGGAACAAATCTGTACAGGCCAGGGGTCCTCAAACTAAGGCCCGAGGGCCGGATACGACCCCCCAAGGTCATTTACCCAGCCCTTGCTCAGGGTCAACCTAAGTCTGAAACGACTTGACAGCACACAGCAACAACAGCAACAATCCTATCTCATCAGCCAAAAGCAGGCCCACACTTCCCATTGAAATACTAATAAGTTTATATTTGTTAAAATGGTTCTTCATTTGAATTAAAGTGTTTTTTTGCACTAGAAATAAGATATGTGCAGTGTGCATAGAAATTCATTCATGCTTTTTTCAAATTATAATCTGGCCCTCCAACAGTTTGAGGGACTTTGACCTGGCCCTCTGTTTAAAAAGTTTGAGGACCCCTGGTATAGGCAGATTGTATGTGTGAATAGCCATAGAAATGCAAAAGTTGTGGGTATGGTGATGAGGTGACAAGTTCAGTGTTTAGGATACAAATAGAGGAGGGAAGATGTTGCCCAAGGGCAAGATGAATAGATAGCCATATGGTGGATGGAGTTATTGGAGTGTAGTGTGATGATGGCTGTGAACCAGAAAGGAGATATGATAGACTAACCAAGGAGGCCCTCATGAGGCTGGGATGATAACTAGTGTTAGAATATGTGTAGTGTATCAGGAAATCTTGAACTTGAAGAAATCTTGAACACAGACAATGTTTGCCAAGTTTCTTCATAGGTTCTGTTTAGCTTGTTTATGTTTTGATAGAATATGGGAAATTATAAATAAAAGCATTTTACAATGCTATGGACCTCATAGCAGTTAAGGAGGAGTTACAGCTCCATTTTTTGGTTCTTCGTCATAAAAAGTCTAATTTCCCATGTAAGTCTTTGAAATGTGGCTTTATAGCCATTTATTGACCTACTAATCTTTGTTCACTATATGACTCCAAATCTTGTTTTGGTTTGTACAGTATGGGAAATTCTGTATTATAGTTTCCTGTTATTTAGCAGGATACAATTTGTAACTATGTTTTCTGCTGTCAACTTAATTGAGGGTTTTGTGTCTTCTACAATTTTACCTCTTCTGTATCTTTTTGTATTTTTTAAAAAAGGAAGTTAAAAGGGTGGGGCAGAAAAATACATGGATAGTTTTGAATAATACATGGATAGTCACCTAAGCATCTGTAGTGCTCTAGAATGGAGAATCCCAACCGGCAGACAGAGAATTCGGAATTATGAAAGTTCTGCACCAAAAGCCTTTTGTTTCCTGTAGGAGTTGAGATGTAATTAATAAGGCGGTTGCCGATAGTCTTTGATACCATGCTTAGCATGCTGATATCCTTCACTGAATAAAAGGAAAAAGAGAAAAAGGAAACCTGTAACAGCCTGGAGATCTCTGTTCTCTAAGAGATAGATTTGTTTATTGATTAGTCCACTGATCATATCAACAATAAAAGACAAAGCTACACAGACATATTGACACTAATCACTATCCTAAAACTCCTGTAATAATGTATTGTCAAAAGCATTCGTGGCTGGAATCACTGGGTTGTAAGTATTTTGGGCTGTTCCATGTTCCAGAAGCATTCTCTCCTGATGTTTCGCCTGCATCTGAGGATGCCTGCCATAGATGCAGGTGAAATGTCAGGAGAGAATGCTTCTGGAACATGGTCATTCAGCCCGAAAAACTTACAACAACCCACTCCTGTAATAGTTAACTAAAATAAATTAAAATACACTAAAACTTGATTAAATAATTAGTTTGGTGAAATGGGATTAAATTGCAAGATGAAAGCAAGGAGAGTAGTGACGAGCGTAAAAGAATCAGTCGGAGAATTTAGATACGTAAATTCATCACCATGACAAAGGCCCCCATTTTGTGAGAAAAAGAGATCTCTCCGGTGGGTGGCTTTTATGATGAATTTGACTATGCAGTGGACTAAGTGTGGGACAGTTTGAAAGCAGGACAATTGGGCAACTGCATTCCAGTTGTAGATATTGAGATCTGACCTTGGCATATAGACAACAATCCAACAAAATATGCACAATTTCCTTTATGGCTGGTGAACCACAGGTGCATGTTCTTTCCTGATAAGGGATTTTTTGAAATCATCCTGTTCTTATCATAGAATTAAGTTGCTCGAATCTAGCTCTGGTAAAAACTGTTATCTGTCCCTAGTGTGAGATTCATCATAAGGTGCTTTTCTGTGCCAAATGTTGTTTTGTTTTTTGCTTTTGGCTAACCAGTGTAGAAATTTGAAGCTGGCCAACAGAGCAATACAGTATGTGTTTGTGAACTGATATCTATTCTCTAACAAAATAAATTAAAATACACTAAAACATGATTAAATAATTAGATAAAGTGATTATCTGTCACTTTATCTAAGTCAATATTGGCCCTTGAGAATCAATTTAACCCCAAGTCTGACTCCAGCATACACTCTTCATTATATATCTTAGCTATATTCTCTATATCAGCACATGGGTCAAGTATCTGCATCAAGAGATGTAGCCTTATCCCCTAATGCTAACAGAAAAAAAATCTACATTTTCAATAGGACAGCCCTCTCTCCAAAATCCAGTAATTTCCATGCTGACAGACAGCAGAGTTGGAGTGGACACATGCCCAGATGTTTTCTTGTACAAAATGTACAACTCCCACAATCCTCCAGTCAATTCTTCCCTTCTCAACCTGTGCCTTATTGCATATGGACCGGCAACTGATGTGGACGCTGCGTAGGACAAATAGGATAAATCTATTGTAGGAGATATACTACACACCTGAAAAACTCTTACCTGGCAGATACTGTAAAACCATGTGAAATATTTCTAAAGGGAGTGTTTTGAAATTCCCAAGGGTTGACTGAGCTGAAGACTCTGTGTCTTGAGTATTGCTGACTTTGTTGGAATGACGATAGCTACGTCGATATCTCTGGTTAGGAATTAAGGTATAGTCAGTTCTTAGAGAAGATGTCATCCTTCTTTCTCGTCTCATAAATCTAGCCTGGGGAAAAACCAATAAAAATAGATAGAAGATGTAAAGATAAGGATATTAAACTCTCAGGGGAGATAAAAGATATATGAACAAATGGACTATGTATACTAATCGTTATGTTAATATTGAGGCCCCTTCTATACAATAATAGTAAAGGTAAAGGTTTCCCCTGACGTTAAGTCTAGTTGTGTCTGACTGGGGGGTGGTGCTCATTTCCATTTCTAAGCTGAAGAGCCAGCGTTGTCCACAGACACCTCCTATGTCATGTGGCCAGCATGACTCCATGGTGCGCCATTACCTTCTCACCAAGGCGGTTCCTATTGATCCACTCACATTTGCATGTTTTTGATTCTGCTAGATTGGCAGAAGCTGGGCCTAACAGCGGGAGCTCATCCCACTCTCTGGATTCGAACTGCCAACCTTTCAGTCAGCAAGTTCAGCAGCTCAGCGGTTTAACCCACTGTGCCACCGGGGAGCCCTTGCCATTTAATACAGATCATCAAAGCAGATAATCCACATAATACGCTGGATTACATGAATCTACACTGCCGCATAATAAAATTCAAAGCAGATAACCTGGATTTTATATGACAGTGCAGAAGGGGCCTGAGTTGCTGCAAAAACTCATATGTAGCTTTTAAAAGTCACATTACTAGGGCTAAAAAGGATGGCATGGGTGCATTCCAAGAGGAAGGTGTCTATAAAATGAGCAGGTTCAATATTATGAAGTACAGCCTGGGAAACGCTTTCAGACTATTACTTCCAGTGAATTGGGCAACCCTTAGTATTCCTTTTTAACTTTATGATTCTGTTATAATTCTCCTTCTAGCTTGGTCAGTTGACATGCTGCCCTGGAAGTCCTGGAAATTGTATTCCAAGCAAGCAGCCTTTTCAAGTTCTGGATAGAAATGAGCAAGACAGGACAAATGGCATAGAATAATCTCAGTTCACAAACAAATAAATAGTATTAACTAGCTGAATGGAAGAAGGTTTTTTTTTTCCAAAGGAAAACTTACCTGGCCTGTAATATGCTCCCATCTGTAACTGTACCACTCAGTATTGTTTTCTCAGGTAAAGTCTATACAGGTTATTTGGGGGTTTTTTGGGGGGGGGGGTTGCATTATATCCTAGGTAATTTTCAATGGTAAGCAAGCAGTATTTTGCCGCCCCGCCCCCCAAAATCACGGATATATATTTTCTGTTCGTCGTGGGAGTTCTGTGTGCCATATTTGGTTCCGTTCCATCATTGGTGGAGTTCAGAATGCTCTTTGATTGTAGGTGAACTATACATCCCAGTAACTACAACTCGCATATGTCAAAGTCTATTTTCCCCCAAGAGTGCCTCAAGAGCAACCCTGGGCAAAATCAACTATGCTTACTTTGCGTAATGGGTTGAGCCACCCCTGATTATATCACCCTTTAAAAAAAAATTAGACTATATTATAATTGAAATATGTAGATTTAATACAATGATTCATCAGGCTGCCAGGCTCCATTATCTTTCTTGCATGACAATCTATTTAATCACGATGGGATGAGGCTACAAAAATTCTTCAGTAATACAAACAGAGCAAATAAATCATGATGATGGAGCTTGTTCATAGATATATTGTGATTTATTCATAGAAAAGGAATAATCAACATTCAAGGCTTCCTTCCTGACTCAAAATGGTTTGTAAATTTTCACATCCTGCGAGTGCCTATTTGTTCCAAAAAGACAGATAATTTCCGGGCTCTGCATTCATTATTTTTGCAAAATATGTCTCCTCAAAAGTATAATCTTTGACAAAAAGTGTCAATATTATGGCAGATTTTTGTTCCCTCTAGATGTTTATAAATGAAATCATTTTAAAAGGTGGCAAAACTTGGATGGTCACCCCTGAATGTCATTGTGGAGTGGAATGCTGGTACAAATAAGTAACGTTTGCAAATGCCTGGGACTGCAAAAGCTAATCTTAACAGCATATTTGTTTTGGGAAAGAAAGCCAGCCTGGTTTAGTGGTTTGAATGTTTGACTATGACTCCAGTGGACTAGGATTTTATCTACTTAGCAATGGAAAATACTACCTATGTTCATTTATTGAATTATTGAATTCTCCTTGAATTTCAGCCTGGGATAACATGCTTATTGTTGAGTTGCATATCTATCATTTTGAATATATTTATTAAGAAGTGCTCACTTTTGAATAATACATGGAATTGAACTAGAAGGCGTTATAAAAAAACTTTCGCACAAAGAAGAAAAAAGTTAATATTAATTTTCTGGTAACATTGGAAAGGCTTCCCTGTACTTTTTTTTACTATTTGCCATAGGAGGGGGAAAGTGTCCCTTGTGATAGTAAGATCTACATCAGGGGTCCACAAACTTTTTAAACAGAGGGCCAGGTCACAGTCCCTCAAACTGTTGGAGGGCTAGATTATAATTTGAAAAAAACATGAATAAATTCCTATGCACACTGCACATATCTTATTTGTAGTGCAAAATAAGCAACAACTTTAAAACAATACAATAATTAAATGTTGTGTGCTTTCAAGTCGTTTCAGACTTAGATTGACTCTGAGTGAGAGACGGGTAAATAACCTTGGAGGGCCGTATGCGGCCCCCGGGCCGTAGTTTGAGGATCCCTAATCTACATTTTCAACCATGTCCTGTTTTAATAAACTGTCACATTTTGAATCAAGTTAAATTTTTGCAAGTACAAGTACAGGCACAAGTACAAGCAGTCCCTGAGTTACATTCAATTTACATATTTTTGGGAAATTGAAATCTCCATAACCTTTTTGAAAATGGCATTCATAACCTTTTGGGAAAACCAGGAATCTCCCTAGGAGAGTTAAAAACTCACTTGAGTTAACTTTCTCCTTAGTGGTAAATATTCACTAGTATTCATGCAAGGCAATTATTTTTCTTAGCTGTTAAACTGATATACTTAGTTATCTCTTCTTTTTTTTCATGTCAGGAACGACTTGAGAAACTGCAAGTTGCTTCCAGTGTGAGAGATTTGGCCATCTGCAAGGACCTTGCCAAGGGGACGCCTGGATGTGTTTGATGTTTTACCATTCTTGTGGGAGGTTTTTCTTATGTCCCCGCGTGTTAGACTCTCATGGAGCTGAGAGTCTAACAGAGTCTCAATCTAAGCATTCTGTTTCTACTGACTTCTAAAAGCAAACCATTTTTAAATCAGAGTCTGAGTCCTGAATTGTCCCTGATCTGATCACATAGTTGCAGCCCCTCCCACAACATAGAGTTAATGAAAACTGCATATCAATACACACCAGACAATACAGCAAGCAATCTGAATGATAAACACATATCTATATACACATACAAAAATAACTAGTGTAGGAGACTTGTAGAAGCTTGCTATTTCCAACACATATGACTCATAGTTGCAAACAGAAGTGATACAACAGGAAGTGAGAGGAAATCTACTCCTAGGAAGGTACATTCACTCATGTAAGAGCTATCATGGAAAAAAAGGTGTTCTGCCTGTATTTGTTGGAGCATGCAAGGAATCAGTGAGTATATATGTGTCAACTGTAAAATAAGATGCATGAAACTGATTGGTTAGGCAATGCCTGGGGAGATGACTGAGCCTGGGACTTTTGGATACTGTTACATTTTGTTCAGGCTTAAGCTATGCAAATATTTAGAGAGAAGACGAGAGAAGCAGAGAGAGTCAGAGTTTGGAGCGTACTCTCGCTTCATGAGCTGCTGAAGGAGTTTATCTACATGGACAAAAGAAAGACAATTGTAAATCTCTAATTAAAGGACATTATGTGAGTTCATGAAACTGATCACATCATACATACGAGGGTTGAATGAGAAGTAATGCCTCCACCTTCGTTACTTGGGTTAGGATGGGAATATTTTAATAAATCAAATGCAGAAATAATCCTTAGAATGTGCTCTTTAACTACCACTATTCACTTTGGCACATAATCACCAGACAATTGGATACATTTCTGCCAACAATGAACAAGTTTTCTGAAGCTGTCACGGAAGAAGTCGACACTCGGTTTCCGCAACCAGCGTCTCACAGTTCTCTCATCCTGGGTACCCATCGTGCACAGATCTTCTGATAGCCAAGCAAAGCAACAATGTGACCGACACGTTCTTGTGTAATGCCGATTATGCTTAAAAATTCTCTCTAAGTGATACAACGATTGTCCTGAATTGTTGCTTGTGAAACTTGGTGGTTGCGGTCACAGGATGACCAATTCTTTGTCACGCAAGTGAGATGTTTCCACCTCAACATCTTTAAACTTACTAGCCCAACGACACACATACTCACATCAACACAAGCACCATAAACACCTTGCATTCTCTGATGAATCTCCTTTAGGGTGACACCTTTTGCTGTCAAGAATTCAATGGCTGCACGTTGCTTAAGTTGCATTGACCAACCATCTGCGCAGGGTTCCATACTTCGCACTTTAACAACACAACTGTTCAATACTCAGGCTTCCCACCAAAATGGAACTGTAGAGGAGAGTCTACTGAACAAGCCAGTACCCACCACATACCAGTACTGCCATCTGTTGAGGAGTTACGAAGGTGGAGGCATTACTTTTCATTCAACCCTCGTATGTTTTCTGAACTATGAAGAGTAAACTACTTGTTCTTTACTGTTCACCTACGTGGCATATTTTCTTCCTCTGGCAAGGCAGTGTGTCGGCTGACCAAACGTGAACTACACAGGTTTATTTTACATTATTTATTATTTATTTATTTATTTACTGCATTTATTGACCGCCGCTCTCAGCCCTAGGGCGACTCGCGGCGGTGCACAACATATAAAAAACAGTTTACAAAAGGGCAAAACAGGAAATCAATACAACAATAATACACTATAATCTAGTTACACTAAATAATCCGCTCGTCACATCATAGAATCATAACCAATATCGTAATCCGTATTCCGTTCCAGTTGTCAATTACCAGTTGCCGTAGCGCTCAGTTGAATGCCTTCTCAAATAGC